TAGGGAAATCGTCATGTGGTCCGTTCCACTTTAGACTTTCTGCAAGCATGGCTATATGGCGTAGGTGTCGTTTGGTCCACTTTGTTCCTATCTCAGTGTTTCCATCCTGCTTTAGTTTCCAGTTCTGTCTGCATGGAGAACCATGTGACAATCAGTTAACAGTATGTCTGTTCACAGCAGGGAATGTTTCTTGTCTGTGAATAATTAAACCTATTGTGTTTGGTGATTATTTAATTATGCTGCGGAAGTCTTTTCCACTAAAGACCATCTATGATTTTAATACTTGGTCAGATAGTTGCGATAGTTGCCTAGAAAATCACTGGGACACTAAAATAAAATGGTATTTTCTGGTGAAGTTAATTAACTTTCGTCGCTGGGTAAAAATTTGTGCTTGCAATGGCCTTTGTTTGAATGCACTTTATCTACTTGTTATGAGCAGGGTTCAATTCTTCCTGTGTTATATCTTTTCAACAAAAGCTGATGTGGAGCATGGGAGATGTGGTTACAACCCAGATAGTTATTTAATTGGTACAATGACAATTACACAAATTATAAGCTTCCACTCTGTGTATGTGTGCAGAGATAATGGAATCTGGTGCTTATCTAGCCACTACACTGCACCAGCTCCTGTACTTAATGTATATTTTATACCTTTTTTGTGGAAAATGTACAAATTAGGAAAGCTACTCATGAATAAATATTAAAAAAACTATATTTAAAGCTAGTTTAAGATCAAATGTTCTCGTAGCCTCAGTGATAGAGGTCACAGGGTTGCAGCTTGAGTCAACCAGTACATATGTTTTCCAAACCCCATGAAATGTATTTGTTTTAGTTAATCACCCTGTTTGTGTTTATTGATTATGCTGCTCGTATGTCTATACATTTCGAGTGAAAAAAATGTTGTTAACTAAATTTTTAATGAATGTATAATTGTCCTGTGAAATTTGTTCATTTTAGGATTTTAAATATAATTCCAGCGGGGTCATGGCTCATTTTTTTTTATACATTATCCGGGCATGAGTAAAGAAAGAAGACTGTCAGGCTTATACTGGAGTGTGTGCATGTTACGTCAGTTTCAGAACGTGCATACAGACACATCTCATGCAGATACACCTTTGTGATTTATTTTACTGTACTTTAACAGATGCTTGAAACAAAGCAAGCCAGTAGATGTTACACAGTCTGCATTGGGATGCTAGAATTTTCTGATACGCGGATTGAGTATTATTTTCTGTGTGCTTTTACAGAACACAGTAGATGTTACAGGTACAGACAGTCCACATGTCAGATACAGGGATGTGAGTGTACAGTAGATGTTACAGGTACAGACAGTCCACATGTCAGATACACGGATGTGAGTGTACAGTAGATGTTACAGGTACAGACAGTCCACATGTCAGATACAGGATGTGAGTGTACAGTAGATGTCAGGTACAGACAGTACAGATGTGAGTGTACAGGATGTGAGTGTACAGTAGATGTTACAGGTACAGACAGTCCACATGTCAGATACACGGATGTGAGTGTACAGTAGATGTTACAGGTACAGACAGTCCACATGTCAGATACACGGATGTGAGTGTACAGTAGATGTTACAGGTACAGACAGTCCACATGTCAGATACAGGGATGTGAGTACAGTAGTGTTACAGTACAGACAGTCCACATGTCAGATACAGGGATGTGAGTGTACAGTAGATGTTACAGGTACAGACAGTCCACATGTCAGATACAGGGATGTGAGTGTACAGTAGATGTTACAGGTACAGACAGTCCACATGTCAGATGTACAGGAGTGATGTTACAGTAGATGTTACAGGTACAGACAGTCCACATGTCAGATACAGGGATGTGAGTGTACAGTAGATGTTACAGGTACACAGACAGTCCACATGTCAGATACAGGTCAGATGGATGTGAGTGTACAGTAGATGTTACAGGTACAGACAGTCCACATGTCAGATACAGGGATGTGAGTGTACAGTAGATGTTACAGGTACAGACAGTCCACATGTCAGAGATACAGGGATGTGAGGGATGTGTACAGTAGATGTTACAGGTACAGACAGTCCACATGTCAGATACACGGATGTGAGTGTACAGTAGATGTTACAGGTAGATCCACAGTTACAGGGATGTGACAGTACAGTACAGACAGTCCACATGTCAGATACACGGATGTGAGTGTACAGTAGATGTTACAGGTACAGACAGTCCACATGTCAGATACAGGATGATGTACAGTAGTGTACAGGTACAGACAGTCCACATGTCAGATACACGGATGTGAGTGTACAGTAGATGTTACAGGTACAGACAGTCCACATGTCAGATACAAGGATGTGAGTGTACAGTAGATGTTACAGGTACAGACAGTCCACATGTCAGATACACGGATGTGAGTGTACAGTAGATGTTACAGGTACAGACAGTCCACATGTCAGATACAAGGATGTGAGTGTACAGTAGATGTTACAGGTACAGACAGTCCACATGTCAGATACAGGGATGTAAGTGTACAGTAGATGTTACAGGTACAGACAGTCCACATGTCAGATACAGGGATGTGAGTGTACAGTAGATGTTACAGGTACAGACAGTCCACATGTCAGATACAGGGAGATGAGGTCATCATCAGACGCTATGTATGCTTCTCTGTTCCTCTATCCAGTAGGGTGCATCACACAAAGGTATCACCTTCAGGTCATTATTTGTGCGGGGTTTACTTCCTGTAGACAGTTTTTATTCAAGGTAGCAGGCTGTATTCACCCATTAGTAGATTTTTTTTTTTTTATTCGGTTTTGCCACAGCAGTGGCCTTGTAGCCTACTCTTTTTTTGTCTATCTGCAGTGTTTTAACAGGCATACTTGCTCACAGCATCTTTTGTTTTTCAATCATCATATAATACTAGGGGTCATGTCTCACTGCATAAGAGGTCAGGGGGGTTGCGTTTTATCATATCACATGTGGGAGAGATCAGAAGGATGACTGATATTTATTTATAAAAGGAATTTTTCAGTGCGATTACAAATGGTCAGCCTTCCTGATTTGAACTTGATAAATGTTAAGCCTGAGACTGACATATCCGTCTGGTACCCATTGGTCTATACAAAATGAAGGTCTAGCCGCAGACAATGCCTTAGAATGCCATGGACCCAGATGAAGAACACTACTGACTTGTACCAAAACTGAACATCACAGAAAACAGGTTTATAGACACCTTTCAGTGTGGCTCGCTGTGGCAGATAGTACCAGGGCATTCTTGTTAGGTGTCCAAACCAGTTCATTTGTTGTTCTTTGATTACCTGTAAGACTGGCTTTATTCCTAGTATTCATCTGATTTCATGATTTCGTATTCTGTCTTCCCTTGAAACTCCTGCAGCTCTTCTAAGGCATTTCATCTCTTTTGTCACAAGTTTACGTTCATTAGAGGATGTATGTGTCCACTTTTGGCACTGATAGCAGTGTTGGCAAAAAAATAGTTATGATTAGGTTCACTTTAGTACTCCAGGGAATCTGACTGTGTGTCAACAGGGGAGATAGTTGCCCCATTAGTTGATTAGCTTTGGCACATCTCGAGGTAATTTCTCTGTCCATTTTTCCATTGGATGTGAAAATTGCTCCCAAATACTTGAATTCCTCTGTTTGTCTTAAGGCGTTGTTTTTTTTTAATTTTATTTCTGAATTGTTTTTCTTTCTTCATATCACCATTGTCTCTGTCTTTGTAGTGTTTTTTGCTTCTCTATTGCTTCCACATAAATTTTCATTTATTGGCCAAATGTCCATGTTTCACTTCCGTATGTCGGGATGTGAAATCCTTCAACTATGTTAAACACTGCAATGGCTTGGAAAGAAAAGTCATGGAAGAAAGGGGGAAGTTGGTGGGTTAACCAGAATAAAGGTTAAGACCAGATATTGGATTTGTCATGGATTGAGTCACGGGGGTTAGCAAGAGATTGAGAGGCTGTCTTGTAGAGTGCAGGGGAAGCCATGTTATACAACCAACCTAATGTTTGATAATGTATATTTAAACTATCTTTACTGCCGGTATTTACCACTTTGAGAGTAATCTAGTAATCTTAGTGTGAGGTTCATAGTAAACTGGTCACCCTATGTTTGCTTCTCTCCTGTGTCAACGAAACACACAGAATGTCTGTCACTGTCCCTCGGGGAAACATTGACACAGATTGCGGTTAGCATACACACACATCAAAAGTATAGGCAGCCATCAGAAGTGCTAAAACAAACAGTCCGACATTAGAAATGCAGTTCATCATCAACAGAAGGAGCGGTTACTAACTGATCAGTAGTTACACATGTGATTAATTTTAACCACATAAGGCACCACCAATTCTGTGGCATCAGAATCTACAGTTCACAATACCACATTGGTCACAGTCGAAAGACATTCAAAATAAAATCTGCAGCTCACAGTTGTTGTGCCATGCACTCAGCTCAGTAGCTTGGTGACAAAACTATATACTTTCAGTCTACAAATGGAGGACAATACAAAAGCCGACATCTGTCAGAAGCAAGTATTTGCCACGACTAAAAATAGTGACATGCATATTCTCCCTTTTAACCAGAAGTTATCTGTGAGAGTGATGTAGGACGGGGGTAGTAAGCCTGAGGGTTTTAAGGCTGCATGGCTTGTATAGTCACCATCAACTGAGCAGGTTGGGTTTTTTATTTGTTCCCCGATAGAAGAATCTACATTGCTAACTAAGGTTCAGACCTGGATCTCATGCTTGAAAGGTCAGTGCTCTAAATACTCTACCAAAAATATAATAATGATGTGCCCAAGTTATTGAGTAGTCAGTGAATGAGGTAGTGATGATGGTGTTGACTGAATGGATGAGTGAGTTCAGTCATTTGCCACTTGTTGATGTGCATCGTCTGTGTTTATTTTTAGAGCAATATTCATCCATTTATTGATGTGTATGAGTGAATGAAAACATTTGCCATTTGTTGATGTGTATATTTTGTATTGTTTTCTAGAGCACTTCCGACAGCAACACCCTGGAAGATATCTCTCTCCGAGTTGAACCAGGACAGCTGGTGGCTATCATTGGCCCTGTTGGAGCAGGAAAAGTGAGAGAACCAGTGACATTTTACCATTTTCACACAACAGTTGTTTTATTTTTTAATGTTTTATTTTTTATTTTTTATTTTTATTTCCTCTAGTGGAGCTCTCTTAGCAGAAGCTCCTTTTTAATTTCCCTCTTGGGTTGTCACCTGAAAGCTTGACATCCAGTGATAGAAGCTTTCACAGGAGATGCTGCAGGGAAGACATGGTCATATCTGCATTACTTTCAAAGTAGCAATAATCATAACGGTACCTGCCATTGGAGAAGTCAGAATTCTTAAGTATCTTTTCAGTAAATCTAAGTAGTGGGAGCCGCGTTAGCGCATTCGATAGAAGGCTTGCTTTCAAATTCAGCTGCGACTTGCTGCAGCCACTGTCGATGTTCAAAACCAGCAGTTTCAGGGGTTCACCCAGCCTCTAGGAAATAGGTACCAGAGTTGGCGCTCTGGGGTGAATGCAGGAACGTTGCTGTAGCTACGGAGTTACATGTGGACGGGGACACAGGCGGAGAGTTTCATATCAGCTGTCCGTACTGGCGGCAGAGCACTTATGGTTTATAACCGTTTGCAATGACGCTGGTTCACATCTCCCGACTTTACCTTTTTACAATATGCTATGAAGTGAAATCAAGGGATAGAGTCACTCACCTACCAGGAGTTGCAAGGGATCAAAAGAGTTCAGAGTCACAGAAGAAAATCACAGATACCTTGTTCAACCATACAAGAGTTATATTGTGACACCCACATTACAGCTGTCCCATGTAAGTGGGTTGTGTTCAGACTCTTATACATAACTATCTCTAATAGTTTCTTCTATGTCTTTGCCATATTATTCATCTTTATGTTACCTATCTCAGTGTTCTCAAAGTTTGTGATACTATATGCAATTTTTTTTTTTGGTGGTGGGGGGGGGGGGATATTGGTCCAGCATCATATACACATACCCATCATGCCAGTGACATATTGATCCTGCCCTGTGTGGGATCTAGGGTCCCTTTTGGAAAGGGGGGGGGGGGACACAATGGACCCTCTGCCCCCCCCCTCCCAACAAGCATGCCATAAAAGTTGACTAATTAGGGGTTTTTCCTTTGCAGTTGGAGTGCATCCACTTTAGAGATTAGAAACCAACAGGCTGCATACAAATAAATCAGATCTGTAAAATGGATGTGCATGCAAAACTCAAATTATGAAACAAGACCAAAGTTCAGAAGTAGACAGACAACCAGATATTTCTGCCGGAATTTACAGCCAGTGCATTTGAAGAAGAAGAAGATATCAGCTTGACTTCAATCCCTCCAATGTCAGTTTGTTGACTGATCATGATTTGACTGTTGCCAGTCATCCTTGCTGATGTCCATTCTCGGGGAGTTGCCAGTCCTCAAAGGTGAGATCAAGTTGTCAGGCAGGCTGGCCTATGTTTCCCAGCAGCCCTGGGTATTTTCTGGCAGTGTGCGACAGAACATTGTCTTTGGGGCAGTCTTTGACAAGATCAAGTATGACAGAGTTATTCAAGTCAGTGCTTTGAGAAAGGTAAGTCTTCACACTGACTAAATGTCTTGTTTATTATATTTTTTGTACACAAATATAATAAACAGTTCACAAGAATAATAAACAGACAGCACACAAGTATGATAAACAGACAGTACACAAGTATAATAAAAAGACAGTACACAAGTATAATAGACAGTACACAAGAATATTAAACAGACAGCACACAAGTATGATAAACAGACAGTACACAAGGATAATAAACAGACATTACACAAGTATAATAAACAGACTGTACACAAGTATAATAAATAGACAGTACACAAGTATAATAAATAGACAGTACACAAGAATAATAAACAGACAGCACACAAGTATAATAAACAGACAGTCATCATCATCATCAGGTGCCTTGCCGACTGGCGTGGGCGATCATGCCTCTCCATAATCTGCGATCTCTTGCAGCATGTATCAGTTCGTGTGCCGATACACCTCCATGCCATGCAACAAGACTGTCAAGCATCTTCTCTCGTTGTCTTCCTCTATCCCTCCTTCCACAGATCTTTCCAGTGGTCACAACATATTCTATTTTCTCTTTTCTCATAACATGGCCGAAAAATGATGACTGTCTCCTTCTAATGTCAGTGATAGGTTGTCTTCGAGCTCCCGCCTCTTTTAAAACCTCTTGGTTGCTCTTTTTGGCTGTCCAAGGTATTCTAAGCATTCTTCTGTAAAACCACATCTCTGAGGCCTCCAAAAATTGTTTAGCCTGCCTACCGATTGTCCAGGATTCACAGCCATATGTTAAAACTGGATGTATGTAGCAAGCTAGAATTCTTTTTTTAACTCTCAATGACAAGGATATATTGCACACGATGTTTTTCATTTTATAAAATGCAGTTTTTGCCTGTCCAATTCTGTTTCTTATTTCAGTTATGCATCTTCCATCTGATGTTATCCATGTGCCCAGATACTTAAATTTCTGTACTTGTCTTAAAATAACACCATTGACTTTTATTACACATTTAGGAATAATTTGTTTCTTTGAAACCACCATTACTTCTGTCTTCCCATTATTCAAACTGAGGCCCATTCTTCCACTTTCTAACACCACAATGTCTATCATTTCCTGTAATTCTTTCTGACTTGTTGCTATCAAGACTGTGTCATCAGCATAACGTAAATTGTTTATATTGTGCCCACCAACCACGATTCCAGGCATATCAATTAAAGATCTCATAATATATTCACTGTATATTGAAAACAAATCAGGTGAAAGTACACATCCTTGTCGTACGCCCCTCTTTATGCTTTGAAATGTACCTAAACAGTTGTTAATTCTTATAGCTGCTGTTTGCTGCCAATACATATTCTTTATTATTCTTAGATCTTTCCCATCAATGATTAATTTTTCTAACAGTTTGATTACTTCTTCATGCTTCACACGGTCAAATGCTTTTGTATAGTCTATGAAGCATAAGTACAAATCAGTCTTTACTTCTATAGCTCTTTCTGACAATGTCCTTAGGATGTATATGGCATTGTTTGTACCTTTTCCTTCTACAAATCCACATTGTTCATCGCTGATTTCTGGTTTAAATTTGTTTCTTATTCTTCTCATAATTATTCTCAGTAAAATCTTAGTCATGTGACTCATAAGACTTATTGTGCGATGGTCTTCACATTTTAAAGTGCCTGGTTTCTTCGGCAGAGCTATAAATATGGATTTTAAAAGGTCATTTGGAATATACCCACTGTTATAAATATCATTTAAAAGTTTAGTTATTATTTCAATTCCAAAATTTCCCAGTGCTTCGATTTCTTCCAGTGAGATGTTGTCTGGCCCGGGTGCTTTTCCTTTCTTCATATGATGTATTGCATCCTCAACTTCTGCAGTCATTATTGGTGGACCATCATTGTTGGTCTGCAGTTCTACATCTGGTCTATTATCATCATACAATTCCCCTATATACTCTGTCCATCTGTTAATTATATTACTATGTCCCATTATTAAGTCACCATCCTTTGATTTCAAACATCCAGTGCTGTTATGTGTCATCTTTCCTGTTAACATATTTATCTTTTGGTACATGGAATGTGAGTCTTTCCCGTGATTTTCCCCAATTTCTGCACACATTTGATTCAGCCAGGCTGAAGTACACAAGTATAATAAACAGACAGTGCAAAAGTATGTGCCTTAAAAGTTTATGGTTAAGCACCAGCAAGGCGATGAAAATTACAATTTTGAGACCATGCATCTTCCCTGTGGCTACAAATGGATGTGAGTCGTGGACTATCTCTCAGTCCTTAAGAAAGGGAATGGGGGCTTTTGAGCTGAAATGCTATAGAAAGAATATCTTGGACAAAGAAGAGAAAAAATACTTACATCTAGAAAGATCTGAACATCAAGGAAGATTGGCTAATGAACAGCATCCTTTCTCGGAAGCTGAAATATTTTAGTCATATCAAGCGCCACGACGGATTAGAAAAAAATTATAGCAGAAGACATGGTACCAGGAAGGACAGGCAGGGCCGACCGACAAGAAGATGGGCACAGGATATAAGTGACTTCTTGAGTGTGAAAGTACATGAGGCAGGAGAACTTTCAAGAGACTGAGTTTCTTTCAGGCAGACTGTGATGAGAGCGACGTTCTGCCAAGGACATGCTACATGATGATGATGACACAAGTATAATAAACAGGCATTACACAATGTGACGTGTAATTCACTTTGTTGTAGCGAATGCACTTTGTACATTCTACAGAGGGAATCTCAAACAGTGAAACATTCTAAAGGTTCTGATCTATCTTCCAGCCTTGCTGGTTAAAGGAGAGGATTCAGGGTTTTCCACATCTGATTCCCTACTGTTGATAAAACTGTATATTTAATTGTACTAAAATATACTATCTATTGTTCACTGACATATAAATTATGGTTAAAAGGAATTCCACTAAAATGGAATGATAACTAGAATCTATAACATTTAATCTGGAAAAGTAATCTAATCATGGGACAGGATGGGGATATATAAAAAAGAAGGTCCGGGATTGACACAGGACCGATATGTCCACTCATCTGTTGTTAGTGCTCCTTGGGTCAGCTTCTGGCTCAGCCTCGGAGACACTTCAGGGCTGGTCAGTTCTTCTAGTCCAGTCTAGACAATCTGACTCATGCAGTTACACTGGAACTTCCACCTGAAACTAGAGCAATTGAACAGTCCCTGTAGAAGCAGTTGGGAAAGTTCTCACTTAAGGCCACACTGCCTTCAGTCCTCATATATTGTTACACTATATACACGCATGGAGTAGGGTAGTAACATGTGTTCCCATTCTTAAGTGGGGTAAAGAATGGCATGTACCCAACAGAATCTATATTCCTGATGGAAGAATTATTCCATTCACATCAATTTCTCGATTTTTCCAAGTATATGAGTTTAATGTCACTGAGAGAGAAAACATTCAACTACTGCTTTCAGGGGTTAACATGCTTACAAACATGCAGTCACATTTCAAACGGTATTCTCAGTTCAAAAACATGGATTCACATTGCAAAGAATGAGAATCAGGGAGGGAATTTACATGGAGTGAAACTCATAACATGTGCATTGCACAGTTTAAAAATAATTGATAATTAGAAATATCTCAGTCAGTATAACAGGGTTCTGGAATAGATGTCATAACACAATCATAGATAACAATGGACTTCCATTTGTCAAATTATTAACATAACATATTCAGCACTAACTTTGGTTTAGCTCTGAATAAATACATCTGTGGCAGAGCCAGCCAATCTATCAACTTTCTGATTGTCAACAACACCTGCATATTCCAGGACAAAGATGAAGATAACCACACATACAGTAGACGTTTGCAGTGACTCAGTCCACTCTCTGTGTACAGAACCTGCTTCCACGTGCCAATTCATGCTGGTAGAATCACTCTCCTCATGGGAATTCTTGGCCTGCTTTTTTGAGAACAAAGAATAGACTGACTGCACTCATAACGAGCATGTCATAAGAGTTGACTAAATAAGAGTGTTTCCTTCAATGTTGGAGTGTATTTACCTTAGAGGCAAAGAATCAGCTGTCTGCAATAAGAAAAACCACATCTGTCAAACAGATGTGCATGCAAAACTTAAGTTCTGAATCAAGACCGATGTGCAGGAGTGGACGAACAATCAGAACTCTCTGTCAGAGGTTACAGCTGGTGAAAGCTACTAAGAAGAGGAAGGATCACTCAGTACACACATATGGGAGTAGCCCTATAAAATATTCACAAAGCTGTGGAAAACTACTGAACTTAAAATTGCCTAGTAGCACCAGAAACTGTTAATAAATTTTGGATTGGTTTGTGAAGTCCTGAAAGGGACACTAATTAACTTTATACACATTTGTGCTGTGTAATTGTTTAGGTTTTCTTAACTTTAGTATACTTTTATTGAAGTGAGAAAGTTGAACTGAGTTAAAAATTGACATCGTAGCACTTGGGAAGTACCCACAAGGGCTCCATCCCCATCTTTAGCAACCAGCTTAGTTAGAGTTCTGATTCCAATGGTACCAGTAGTAGTCTGACTGTTTGTCCATCTGGCTTTCTTCCCTTGAGTGTTTGAGTGTCAGTTAGATCCCCTGGTAACTCCTTGCTGCACTATTCTCCTCAGACTGTGATGATCTGTTTGTGTCTCTGGACACTTCACTAGCTTCCAAAAAGTCTTGAAAACCTCTTGCTTGTCATTCATTAATTTACCACCAAGTGATGCAAAACCAGCCAATCTGTCCTGCTGTTTTTATCCAAGACACCTGCATACCTAGATAAAATATCCTATGGACATAATGGCTCGGCATCCCTGAAGCAATCCTTCCACTCTGCACGGAACAATCCTGTCTCCACCTTTGTCAGCATGCTATGTGAGTCCATTATAGTCATGACATATGTGTACCGAAAACATTTCTAATAACTGAACATCCTCTGCATCAGTATTGTTTCAAATCTGTGACATCAGTTTTACTTTATATTAGGATTTTGAAATCATGCCACAAGGGGATGCAACACTTATAGGTGACAGAGGCGTGAGCTTAAGTGGAGGTCAGAGGGCTCGGGTATCATTGGCCCGAGCTTTATACATGGATGCAGACATTTACTTACTGGATGACCCTCTGAGTGCTGTCGACTCAGCTGTTGGAAGGCATATATTTGAAAAGTAAGTTTTTTTTTCTTATTTTTTAATTATTTACTTGTAAACCAAATTGTATTAAAATAAACTAGTGTTTTTTTTTGGTACAGATGTTAACTGAATTATCAGATGATTAACCACTGTTTCTTGGGCACAGATGTTTCTGAGATTTTATAAACTGAAACAATTATTGAAAGACTAACTACTGCTTCTTATCCACAGATGTTTCTGAGGTTTTATGAAGTGAAACAGTTTTTTTTTTAAAGACTAACCACTGTTTCTTGGGCACAAATGTTTCTCAGTTTTTATAAACACTAACAGTTATTGAACGACTAACCACTGTTTCTTGGGCACAGATGTTTCTGAGGTTTTATAAACTGAAACAGTTATTGAAAGACTAACCAATGTTTCTTGGGCACAGATGTTTCTGAGGTTTTATAAACTGAAACAGTTATTGAAAGACTAACCAATGTTTCTTGGGCACAGATGTTTCTGAGGTTTTATAAACTGAAACAGTTATTGAAAGACTAACCACTGTTTCTTGGGCACAGATGTTTCTGAGGTTTTATAAACTGAAACAGTTATTGAAAGACTAACCAATGTTTCTTGGGCACAGATGTTTCTAAGGTTTTATAAACTGAAACAGTTATTGAAAGACTAACCAATGTTTCTTTGGCACAGATGTTTCTAAGGTTTTATAAACTGAAACAGTTATTGAAAGACTAACCACTGTTTCTTGGGCACAGATGTTTCTAAGGTTTTATAAACTGAAACAGTTATTGAAAGACTAACCAATGTTTCTTGGGCACAGATGTTTCTGAGGTTTTTATAAACTGAAACAGTTATGAAAGACTTGTTTCTTGGGCACAGATGTTTCTAAGGTTTTATAAACTGAAACAGTTATTGAAAGACTAACCAATGTTTCTTGGGCACAGATGTTTCTGAGGTTTTATAAACTGAAACAGTTATTGAAAGACTAACCAATGTTTCTTGGGCACAGATGTTTCTAAGGTTTTATAAACTGAAACAGTTATTGAAAGACTAACCAATGTTTCTTGGGCACAGATGTTTCTGAGGTTTTATAAACTGAAACAGTTATTGAAAGACTAACCACTGTTTCTTGGGCACAGATGTTTCTAAGGTTTTATAAACTGAAACAGTTATTGAAAGACTAACCACTGTTTCTTGTACACAAATGTTTCAGAGGTTTTATAAACTTAAACAGTTATTGTAAGACTAACCACTGTTTATTGGGCACAGATGTTTCTAAAAAATTTTAACAGAAACAGTTATATAAAGACTAACTGCTGTTTCTTGGGTACAGATGTGTTTACTAGATTTTATATCCTGAAACAAAAAATTCCCAAAATAATATGAAGAATTGCTTCTTTTTTTTAAAAATATGTTTGTGAGTGTGTGTATGGTGTGTGTGTGTGTGTGTGTGTGTGTGTGTGTGTGTGTGTGTGCATGTGCGTGCGCCTGTGCGCGCACACACAAAGATGTCTGTCTCCATTACATCCTCTTTTACTTCTTTCAAGTGTCAGTGGAGATATAAGGTTATGTCTCGACCATAGACACATTGTACTGTTGTGTAGTTTCTGTGATGTTATATCTCATCTGTTATAGATGTTTACCAGGTTTTATAAACTGCAACCAATTCTTCTGCTTCACATTCACCTGCTGTAAACTCCAGCAAAAAAATTATGGTTGTTTATCCACTTCTGGATTTTAGTTTTGTTCCAAAATCTGAGTTTTATATGCACTTCCATTTTACAGATCTAGATTATTTGTATGCAGAATGTTGGTTCCTTGTTTCTCAGGCAGATGTTCTCCGACTTTAAAGGAAACATCCTAATTAGTTGATTCTTGGGACATGCTTTTTTTTTTTTTATGGGCCGGGTGTGTCACCCCCCCCCTCCCCCACCCTTTCCCCTCCCCTCCTCCTCCTCCCCCACACACAAATGCACACACACATACACACACACATGCACGCACACAAACACACACACACACTATGACTTGTGTTTTTCCTCTGTGTGCGTACAGATGTATAGTGAGCTACCTGAAGAAGAAAGCAAGAATCCTGGTGACGCATCAAGTGCAGTTACTGCCTGCGGCTGACAGTATCTATATTCTCAAAGATGTGAGTGATTATTTACATTTCCCGTGTGTCACTGAATAATTTCATACCTCACTGTTTCAGTCAGCTAACTCTTCCAGTCCCAGAAGGTTGTAGCTAATGTCTGAGGGAATTAAAGTTGGCAATACATAACTCATGGGTAGACTACTTCCAGAAGGGCTAGATATACAACCTTTGCAGTAAACAAATATTTTGTCAGAGTTCTTCAAAGTCCCTCACTAAACATCTTCTTTACATTCAGGTCAGAACATGAGGAGGGTTGCCTCAGTGAACTCACATGTCAGTAGCAGGTCCTTCATGGTTCCCCATAGCTTGCTCTGCACACTTTGCTCTTGAGGCCAGGTTTTTTTTTTTTTTTTTTTCTCGAAGTTGTAGGTAGAGTGGGCGAGTCTGCAGAATGTGCTCAGGTGTTTGTGGTCCTGTTTGACAGGCACACTGTGGGGACTGTGCAGTCTGTGATTTATGTATGTTGTAGTTGAGCCTGCAGTGTCCTAGCTAAACATAAGATGTAAAAACAAATAACAGGTTGACTGGTATATGCGGATAATACCCAGTCACACATGGCATGTTGTTTGGGACAAAATAAGTTAATAGTTTCAGTTTCACAGCAAATAGACCACAATTTCTTCACTATTGTACCAGCTAAAACCAGACTGAACGTCTTTCACTGATCCCTGTGAAAACATTCAAACAGACCGCAGTCTTTACAAAACCAGCAGTATGCAAATGCATTAAATGCATAAGGCAGTCATCACAAATGCCAACACAAACATTCCACCACCAGCATCGTGGTTCATCATATCTGGAAGCAGTAGCTACAACAGTTGCACATGCAATATTTCATAAGGCACCACTTAAAAGTCTCAATTTGCAGTTCACAACACAAATAACAGCACAGGGGACAAGTGTTCATAATGACATTCACAGCTGAAATTGTCACACCGCGCACTCAGCTCAGCAGCTTGGGGAAGAAACTGTATACTTTCAGTCCACATATGGGAGACAATGCAGCTGCTAACTGTGGCCCCCAGAAGCAAGTGGTCTGCCATGAATGTTGGTTGTGAACATTCACAAACATTTGTGTGATGTGTATGGAAGTTTTGCAGTCAACCGGAGTACAGTCAGTTGTGGGGTTTAGAAAATCAAAGAATCAGGAAGTGGAGGTACGGAGCTACTTGATCGATCACGCTGTGAATCTCCTGCCACAGCCACTGGATTTTCTCAGGTTTTCACAAATGGGTTCCTTGAAGTCTCACAAATGACCACCGATTGCAAAGCAAAGAACTGTTTTCTGAATTGTTGGTTTCAGTGCAGAAGGAGAGCTTTTTGGCTAAGATCGCTTAAGCTGACGAAATCTAGGCACATCACTTTGAACCTGAGTCACACACAAAACGACATCCAGTGGAGTGGCATCACCATGAGGAAAGACATCTCCTTCAGCTGGAAAGGTTTTGATAACTGTCTTTTGGGACAATGTACCTCTCACTCAAGACTGGATACAAACAAGAGAAGCAATCACCAAACTGGGTTGGACTGTACTACCCCATCCATCCTAAAGTCCCAACTTGTCACCCTCTGATTTGCATCTGTTTGATCCAAATAAAGAGGCACTCGGTGGGACAAGGTTTAAAGATGATGAAGGAATCATTCCTGCAGCAAGAAAATGGCTACATTTTCAAGAAAAAAATCTGGCATTGGCTAGGAATACATGCACTTGTTTTGCGCTCGCATGCAGCTGTACAAGTTGATGAGGATTCTGTTGAATAATACCAATGTTTACCTGACATATCCTAGTTTATTATAAATAAATGTCATAGTTTTTTAGTAAGCTCCTGAGACAAATGATATGGTGCATTACTTTATGAATGCCCGTCATAGCTGGGTAAATACATAGAGGATAGATAGACAAATAGATAGGTAGGCAGATACATAGACAGACACATGTATAAATGGATAGATTTCCCTGTTTGGGTTCCGGGACCCATTGTGGAGAAAAAAAAAGAATACACCCACTGTGTCCCTTAAAAGCATGTCATAAGAGTCAACTAATTAGACCACCATAATTTACAGCAAGTCAATTTGAAGAAGAGAAGAAGAAGCAGAAGGACAGAAAGACGGACGGATGGAATGGGGAAAATTCAAAATATAAACCAATTTCTTGACATCCTCCAGGGTAGAATTAGCATCCATGGTACATTTAATGAACTGTCTCACTCTGGCGTGGATTTCTCTGAGTTGTTGAAGAATCCTGAAGATGAGGCTTCACCAGCTTCCATCCCCCAGAGCTTGACTACTCATAGTGATGGGACCACAAACCCGCAAGTCCAAGAGCTTGGATCTCGCATGTCTCTACACAGTTTGGTTGATAGTTATGAGGTAAACAGTGCTACATCATCATTATCATCATTATCTCTACTTTAATGGCATCATCATTACCTTTACCATCATAATTGTATTGATTGTATCCTGGGAACTTTGAAAGCAAAGTGTCTAGGTGCTTGCCCGTCAGCCAAGAGGTTTTGGGTTTAGATCCTTACTGTGGTAGATTTTTATACAAAGACGTTGCATCCTGGGTCAACCCAGCCCAAAAAAGTACCAGAAGATATCCTGGGAAGTAAAGGTGTGCTGGGAAGCAATACAAAGGATTTATTGCCTTCTGACCAGGTGTCTAAAGGTAACTGATTATGCCTCACTCATATATGCAAAAGTTCCCCAAGCCGACCTTCTGTCGACTAATTGAGTTCCCTACCTGAGAGTGCTAAATTGTAGGGGTGGGGGGTGCGTCCCTACACAACATGGTTGATATATGTATGGCTATCTACTGCTATCATTCATGATCCATGATCAGCTGCAATTCTAGGGGTGGACTGTATGTGTTAGCTCTTCTGATGAAGGTCTTGTTCACTTTTTTTTCCCAAGAGATAATGAAAGGCTTTCTTGTGTTTTTCACTGGCACACACACACACACAAAAGCAATTATAGAGTTATCTGTTTGCAGTGAAGTTGGAGCTGTAGTTAACTGATTATCATGATTAGTTTGTTCATTTTCACTTCCTGTCACCACCGGCAAATGCTGCAGACCATCATCTGACCCATCTGTAACAGGTTTGAACTTTGATCTAACCTGCAGCAGCTTTGAACTTTTTTCATACATTTCTGCAACTTTTTTCTGACCTATTTGCATTAGCTTTTAACTTGTATCTAAATTATCTGCAACAGATTTGAACTTTTTTCATTCATATCTGCAACTTTTTTTCTGACCTATTTGCAATAGCTTTGAACTTTTATCTAAACTATCTGCAACAGATTTGAACTTTTTTTTTAAGGTACCCTATGTGCAACAGCTTTGGGCTTTCATTAGATCCATATTCAACAACTGAGGAAGTGCTGGCTCATCAACAAAAGCTCTCCAATGCTACACTAATAATTTCCTTATTGTTGTTTCTTTGTCACTTTAGCCTGAGCCGGTCCAGCTGCCAGAAGAGGAAGAGAGAGCCAGTGGGACAGTGGGCTGCAGTGTCTATGTGGAATACTTCCGAGCAGGGACCGGGCTACTCAAGTTCTTGCTGCTGGTGGCGGTCAACATTGCTGCCCAGCTCTTCTATGTGGCCAGTGACTGGTGGCTGTCCAGATGGTAGCTAGCTCTGTCCTTCTCCAGAGATCATCTCAACATCTGTTGTTGTTCTGTTATTCTTAAAATCCTACCTCTGACTTTTTCATCTCTCTTTCTGTCTGTCTGTCTGTCTGTCTGTCTGTCTGTCTGTCTGTCTGTCTGTCTGTCTGTCTGTCTGTCTGTCTGTCTGTCTGTCTGTCTGTCTGTCTGTCTGTCTGTCTGTCTGTCTGTCTGTCTGTCTGTCTGTCTGTCTGTCTGTCTGTCTGTCTGTCTGTCTGTCTGTCTGTCTGTCTGTCTGTCTGTCTGTCTGTCTGTCTGTCTGTCTGTCTCTCTGTCTCTCTCTCTCTCTCTCTCTCTCTCTCTCTCTCTCTCTCTCTCTCTCTCTCTCTCTCTCTCTCTCTCTCTCTCACTCACACACACATATACACATGCACATGCAAACACACTAACACACATTCTCTTGGTATTATGGACCATTTCATAAACAAAAAAGAAAGTCAAGGTGTTTGAATTTAGATGTTACTAAAAACTTTAGTTTGATTTTTAAAAAATTAAAACGAACAGATCTGCATATTTTGAAGAACAGTTAAAAATGTTGATGGTACCAGTAGCAACTGGACTGACAGCAGAAAACACACATCAAATCTTAATCCTTTGTCAAAAAAATGTCATCAGACTGGTGCAGTTTCATCAAACCAAATAGTATATATACACACTAAATGCATAACACAGCCATCAGGAATGCCAACACAGTCTGCCACTAGATCTTGTAGTGATGCTATATAAATTGGGTATTTTCCCCCCAAAAGGTCCAACCAAGAAGAAGATCGATACGCAGCATTAGAGAGACTGAGACATCTGATGCTGGATAACAACAACACAGACCTCAGCAACATCACCACCACCAGCAACATCACCGTCCCTTGGGTTGACAGCTACTTTAACATCTACATCTTCACAGGCATTATTCTAGCAGTGTTTGTCTTCGGCCTGGCCAGGGCCTTGCTGTTTTTTAGAATTGCTGTGGATGCATCTCAGGAGCTGCATCGGCGGATGTTTGTGCGAATTTTGAGAGCACCAGTGTCCTTCTTTGACACAAATCCTGTTGGTGAGATCATTCTCTCATTTCTCTTTAAAATAACATGGAAACATTTTTATGTTGAAAATAAGATCTTTGACACAAATCCTGTTGGTGAGATCATTGTCTCATTTCTCTTTAAAATAACATGGAAACATTTTTATGTTGAAAAATAAAATAAATATGAAAGAAGCAACTGGAAGCGAATTGTCTTCTAGTTTCTGACATCATCATCATGTGCCATGTTGAGCAATTATATTGCCATCTGTCAGTAAGAGATCGTATTTTTCGTGTGTTTTTGGAAAAAAAATAGGACTTGAGATTATTTTACCCTTAACTTTTTCAGTTTCAGTGAATTCACCATTCATCTCTTGGTTACTCCATACCTGATGTATTTGTGTCAACTCCCTGCACCTTAATGATCAGTTCCATATACCCACTCTATCATATCTGCTACTTAAACCCTTCCTGTTGTGTGGTTTTTATTATTTAACCCTTTCAGACATAGAAATATATAGATAATTGTTTAACCCTTTTTATCCCACAAATGCTTAAAAAAAATGGGTCATGAAATTTTGGGAATCTCCCTCCATTAAAAATCCTTGAAGAAACAATTTTACACAACCAATAAATTCTGAAACTTGGTGAACAACTAGTAGAGATGAAGCCTCATTACAAATTTTCAAAAAACAGAGTAATATGACGAATCTTTGGACCTATCAAAGATGCAAACAGTGGGGAATGGAGAGTGAGAAGCAACAACAAAATTCATAATCTGTTTAAATCACCACTGATCACTGGCATCATTAGAGCTAATAGACTGAAATGGTTGAGGCATACTGAGAGATGTCAAATGACAGAGAGGTAAATCTATATACACAAGGGAGCTCAATGGTGGTAGACCACGAGGCAGGCCAAGAAGGCGATAGAGAGATAATGTCCAGACTGACCTGCAAACATTTGGTGTCACCAATTGGAAAGAGAAGGCCAATCAGAGAGCTGAGTGGACGAACTACAGTCTCAGAAATGCACAGCCAGGTTGAACGCTTGTTTGTGATCGAATATAGCCAAATTCCATCGTGAGGACATCAACAGCAACACCTGGTTGGTTGATTTTGTTAAAGTTGACCTGGATTTCAGGTCAGCCCAGCCAAAATAAGTAGCAGGAAATGTATGCACAGTTAAAGCAGCCAGTGTGATGCTGACTGTTTTATCAGTCGAGTACCAGTTGCTCTAGAAACAATGGGTTAACATAATATCACCACTGGACCCTGACCAGGGTAGTGATGAGCTACTTAATGATAAACCGGATAATGTGAAGACTCTGTGGGATCACATGGACAGTGCAGTAGAGCAGACAGAGAATCCGTACATTGAAAGACTAATTCAACAGGGGGTGACTAGAGGTTCAGCACTGGAAGGGAAACACAGGTGAACTTTTAATCTGCTTGTAACTGGTACTATTAGTGTCTGGACTTTTCATTGGCTACTGAAGAGCACATGTGGGCATGTCTGAAGTGCATCAATGTCAGTTCTTCATTCATTCATTCATTCATTCAACACTGACCACTAAATTAGTAAACCAGTGCTGTCTGGTTGACTGGGCCTTGTCAGATATATATCTTGATGATGTAATGCAACTACACAAGGCAGAGATGATCTCTTGCCTGTGCGATGAGGTAACATGTAAAAATGGAAGTTACTAAAAAACCAGCACCTGGAGAGAAATATCCAGCGGGGAGTGTCTGCAGGCTCTGGACGCTGCTCAAGAAAGGCAAGACAAGTAGTTAACCAGATGACAACAGTTACTGTCAGTAAGGAGACTCTTCGCTGGCTGTTGGTGGAGGAGACAGAGCTAATGCAGGCTAGTCCTGAATGCTGGGTTGTCAAGTTTGTATCCAGAAAGATATTAGATCATCTTCTGGTCAGGAATCAAATCTGACTGGTCAACAACAATTGTCAGGCCATGACTCAGAATGGGAGCCTCTTTCGCATAGGAGTTAGATACTCAGGCGGGCCAAAAGATCCAGGGTTAAAATCTGCATCGAGGTGAGTTTTTTAATTGACCATATCTCCCATATCCTTCCAGCGAGCTTGATGTTGATCACAACCTCCCTCAAGTGCCGATTCATATTTAAAAAATACGGTCTTGAGATATTTCCAGTGCACCAAAGGCGTGAAGTGGGTCCTTTTAATGCCTCAGGTTTTGTCTTTTAGTTTTTTCCGCAGTATAACCTTTACCTTATCTTATTGTTAACTTTCTTCTGCACATGATATTTCAGAAAACCATTAGTGACCTGTACAAACAATATCAGTTCATTATCAGTATTTTATTGTGTTTATAAATTGCTGGGTCAAACATTGAGTTACAATTTTACTTTTTATTATGTCTTTCCTTGCAGGAAGGATCTTAAATCGTTTCTCAAAGGACATCGGACACATGGATGATTTGTTACCTGTGACTTTCTTTGATTTTATTCAGGTAAGGGAATTTATGTTTCTGAAACAATCAACTAGCATATTTAAAAATCCTTGCCTTTTTAATTTTATATATTATACATGGTTTAACTCTATTAGTCCAAGGGGGTTTAGCATCAGAGGCCCAAGGGTTAGTAAAGAGAGACGTTAAAAACGACACATCTTGCATTCATTGAGCATCTAGTAAGTTTTAGAATTCATCAGTCAGTCAGGTCCTATCTCTGCAATAATGGATCTCCAACCTACTCTGTCTCTTGTCTTGGTTGTACACTCTCTTAGACTGCTGTTCGTCCATCTCTTTTAGTTTTCCTACTGTATCATTGTCTACTTCTTGCTCTTCTGCCCTCAACCTTTCATTAAAGTATGGTTTTTAAAAGATTGTTATGTCTTCATATTTGTAGTCACATTTTATGGGGAAAGGGGGGGGGGGGGGGGGGGGGTTTGCCATATAAAAAATTTGGAAATCACTGATTTAGTCATTGATTCTTTCATTCATTCTTTACTATGTGTGACTTGACGAGTTTATGTATTTCTGAGTGCTCATGATAATTGTTTGTTTTGCAGTGTTTTCTGCTGATCATTGGCATTGTCCTAGTTGCTGGAGTTGTCAACCCTTACGTGTTTATACCAACCGTGCCTCTGGTGATATTGTTCTTTCTGGTCAGAAAGTATTACCTGCAGACTTCCAGGAGCGTCAAGCGACTGGAGGGCACCTGTGAGTGCATTCGTTTGTTGTCTTGGAGAGATTATAGCTGGCTTGTGTGTACTGAAACATGATTTCTTTATAATAGTGGGGATGGATTTGTTGTTTTGTTGAAGAATCAGTAACTAGTATATTGATGATTTAGCCAAATAGCATCTACGGTTTGACTACAAATAAGCAGAGAAAAGGCAAACATATTGACAACACCAACAACAGATCAAGTGGATGTAACACTAGAGACACAAGTAATTAAGGTTACAGATCAATAAACTTATTTTGGTAATCATTTTATTGGTGAAGGAAATACAAAGAACAAAATGATGACACACGTTGACAAAGCATAAGCAACTTTTATTAGCTTGAACAAAATATGGAACTCTGAATTATATAGTTTAAAAACAAGTTACGCATTTTCAATTCTAATGTTATTGTAGGTTTAGGAAGAAATTTGGGGAACCACTAAAGACATATAACGAAAATTAAATGCATTTGAAAAGAAATGCCTCACGAAAATGATTAAAATAAAAAGGGATGAATTCCAAAGGAGTGAAGAAATAAAAGAAATGTCTGAGCAACCGCTAGTATCAACAGTTATCAGACAGAGAAGATGGCGCTATATTGGACACATCCTGAGAAGAAGCCAACAAAGAGTCAGCTAACAGGCATTGAAATAGGAAAATTAAGGGATTAAGGGGTGAGGACACCCAAAAGAAACCCTAAAATGAACCGGGATGAGAGAGGCCAAAGCTGCTGGACTGGATCCCATCCATATCGAACCGACTTCACAAAACAGAATAGAACAGTGAAATAGACTGCAAGTCCTGTGTGACATATCATATCACAACAGGACAATAAATGAATGAACATGTATGTTCCAAGGGAAAGTCAGAAGGTAATGCGTCCTATTTTTTTCTTATCTATGTAAAGAGTTTATGTTTGTGCACTTTGTAAATTTAGCAGGATTCCTCAAACATTTTCTGTGCTGTATAGCATTACCAGAAAGCAATGGCAAACTGCTGGACGTAAATTTGCCTAGAGAAACCACATAACAACCAGAGGCTGCTGGGTTTGGTTCTGCAACGTCCTGTAAAGGATACGCAACTAACCTTATAGCATTACCAACCTGTTTCAGTAACAGGTGGCACCACTGTAACGGCTTCAAAATGTCTTCCAGGGACCCACGGTTAAAACAACATATCATACAAATCCCTAATGCTGAAGGCCAGATCCCAATACACATCCACAAACATTTGAGGAATGTTTATGGAGATTCAGCAGTGGATGTTAGTACTGTCCGAGGCTGAATACATCGTTATGATGAAACTGAAGTGGGTCAATCCTCAATGGCTGATGCAGAGCGGACTGTCCCTCCATCTACCACAGTTACTGCCCACAACATTCACTGAGGTTGGATAACACTGGATGAACTTTACTCTATGTTGTCCATTAGTAAAGTTTAATGTGCTGACCATCAGGTCATCTAGTGTTACCTGGCGGTCAGCACCAATGATGTCATCATTGTAAACTAATGACATAGCTCAATCAGTCAGTCAGTCAGTCAGTCAGTCGGTCAGTTAGTCAGTCAGTCAGGTGCCATCGCCACATTGAAGGCTGGCTGCTGTGAATCTCCAACACTTTCTGTCTGTTGACTTGGTTGTACACTCTCTCACACTCCTGTTAGTCCATCTTTTGATGTTGTCTTCCCATTTGTATCCTTGTCTACCTCTTACTTTCTTGCCCTCGACCTTTCCTTCCAGTTGCATATCCTTTACAAGACGTTGCAGAACCAAACCCAGCATTTTTAGCAGTTATGGTTTTCTAATTGTTCTCTCTATATAGTGAATGAATTTTTAGGAAAATTAAAAAGAAAGCAGGAAATAAAGTGGGAGGATACAATATAAACAGTTATGCGTTATGCAGACGATACAGTTTTGATAGCCGATAACGCAACTGATTTACAACAACTGCTGGATACTGTTTGGATGGAAGGTGCTAAGAAAGGACACCACATTGTGATATCTCAGTTGAAGGAAAAAGGTTTAACCAAGTCAATAAATTAAAATATCTGGGACAGTCATACCATTAGATGGAAAATGTGTTACAGCGATTAAAAGCAGAATGCTTCAAGCAAAAGCTGCATTTCAGAAAATGAAAAATATTTAAGCAATAAGTCGCTCATTTAATGTCAGAAAGAAAGTGCTGAAATGTTACATAGAACCTGTTCTGCTGTATGGCAGCGAATCTTAAAATGTCACTGAACAAATTAAGAAAAATTAGGAAGCAACAGAGAGGTGGTTTCTGATATGAATGTTACTAATACCTTGGACGCCTAGAGTAACTAACAACGATTACTTGAAAGAAGCTAATGGAAGTAGATCTGTATATACAACAATAAGAAGGAGATAAACACAGTTCTTTGGCCACGTAATGAGAATAGAGGCATTGGAAAACATCATGTCAACTGAAAAGATCAGTGGAAAGAGAGTAGAGGCAGACCAGGAGAGATACTGGATGGGCTGAAATGGTGGCATGGAGGGATATCATCAAGAGAGCTGTTCCAGGCAACCAGGTATCGTGATCTGTGGAGATGCATGAGCACTTACGCCAACTGGCAGGGCACATGATGATAATGCGGTTTTCCTAGGCAAATTTTACTTTCAGTAGTTTGCTATTGTCCCCTGAATGGTTAGCTTCTGAATACCACTGTTGAAACCATCACAAGGTGGTCTGCTGCTAAATCGGCTGCAGCTGGGATCAAACCCGGAACCCCAGCATTACAAAGCGCGTTTGCAACGCCTAAGCCACAGGCGCAGACTTCCTTTCAGTATGGTTTTCATTTATTTAAGAGTATTGACATTGCTAGAAGAGCTTTAATCTTTCAACAATTGACACAGCTGACTGTTTTGTTTCAGCCCGGAGTCCCGTCTTCTCATACCTCAGTGCCTCACTACAAGGACTGCACACTATCCGCTGCATGCAGATGGAGGAGAAGTTTATGGAGGAGTTTGATGCTTACCAGGACAAGCATTCGGAGGCATGGTTCATGTTCCTGGCTACAAGCCGCTGGCTGGCAGTTAGACTTGACTGGCTGTGTGCCATGTTTGTGACAGCGGTCACTGTATGTTCTGTTCTTGCTGCTGACTGTAAGTCTGAGGCTTCTCTCATTGAATAGTTTTTACAAAAAAACTGGCTGTTAGGCTTGACTAGTCATTTCTTCTTCTTTATTCTTCACATTCACCTGCAGTTTTGTATGGTATTTTCTGTTCTTTATGTTCAGTGTCACATGTGTTGACCATTAGGCTTATTTGGAAGCATGGTTTTAAGCATAAAATGTAGCATTTTTGAGAGCCTTACAGTTACTAAGTTTTGATCTGAAAATAAAGTCAGCTGGTACAAAGAGAATAAATTTTAGTTAAAAATCAATATTCTTCATTGTCAGTTTGATCTGGCACCATTTCTTTTTATTTGGGAACGTAGACTTTAAAATTATGGGCAAATGTATTATAAAATGTTTGTTTTTGATGTTGTTGAAAATACCAATTGTTTTTCGGAACTAATTTTTCTTTATTAAAAAAATACGAGATCTAATGGACAGATTGTGTTTATTTTTCTTATACATAACTAAGTGGTTCATATTCATTTATGAGTCATTTTGGATATATTTTCTTGAGTTTTCCTTGAGTACCATGATCATAAGTGAAAAGATTATTATTTTTTATTTTACTAATTTCTCTAAACATGCCATCTGTTTATTCACTAATATTAAACTACTAACATAACTTATTTTTGTAGCAATTCTAATATTATTCCTCAACAATCCCTGATCATTTTGATGAATAGTATGTGTATGAGGCACGACATTTGAATTATTATGGTCTGTTTTAATGTGTTAGACTTGTGACATATCCAGATTGCATTACCACCCCTTGGGCTTCTGATGCTAAACCCCTAGGACTCAAAGAGTTAATAGTTATATGTTTTCATTCATAGAATTATTTATTTCATTAGTTGTAACAGTTATATCTTTGTCACTGGTGTTATTGTTATAGCTTCATTATTACTATAATTGTTATGTTTTTGTTGATATCTGTAATCACATTATTTCTGTTCCCTCTAGCAATGAATGCTGGTCTTGTTGGTCTGTCTATAACCTACACAATGACCTTGATGGGGATGTTTCAGTGGGGGGTCAGACAGAGTGCAGAAGTGGAGAATCAGGTAAATTATTACATGCTGTCTTTTTTTTTTTAACCTTTTCAGATCATAACTTCCATCCCCCCCCCCCACACACACACACACACACCCACATGAGCACATACACCCACATGCACACACACACACACACACACACACAGGCAGGCATGCAGGCACACTCACAGAAAAAGAGTTACTTTGTGTAGTTGTAGGGTGCCTTTTAAAATAACTGGACACATTTCCAACAGTTGTTGAAGTTAGTCATGCTATTGATGAACTGGCTTAGGGGAGGGCCCCAAGCAGAGATGGAATTCTTATTAAGATCATCAGCAGTGGGAAAGACATTCTAACCCTACACATTCGTCTGCTAACAACACTCTGCTGGCAATAGGGTCAGGTTCCACAAGACTTCAAAGACTCAAGCATCATAACTACAAGCATGTACAAGAACAAGGATGACTGGAGTGACTCATGTTTTGTTTCAACATCTAAGATCTAGTTCTAATGTATTTGTGTATCCGCCTGTAGGATCAATTCCTAATGTTTTGTTATATCCTCTAAGATCCAGTCCTAAGGTATTTGTGTATCCTACTGTAGGATCAATTCCTAATGTTTTGTTTCAACATCTAAGATCTAGTTCTAATGTATTTGTGTATCCGCCTGTAGGATCAATTCCTAATGTTTTGTTATATCCTCTAAGATCCAGTCCTAAGGTATTTGTGTATCCTACTGTAGGATCAATTATACAGGGGAATATCACTGCTGTTGACAATTTGAAAAGTACTTGCTAGAATTTTTCTGCAAAGACTGCAGATCCTAGGAGACCAGGTTTACCCAGAGTCACATTTGGCGTTCGTGGGAACCGGTCTACCACTGATATGATATTTTCATTATGACAGTTGCAGTCAACATTAGAGTGAAGCAGAAGTGTGTACTTGTTCATACCCTCTTTGGAATATACTTCTTACCTCTTCTTAAATATGCCTTTTGAGATCAACAAGGTGGTATATTCATCCATTCTTGATCTGATGGCTGCCTTTACAATGCTCATAGGCTGAAAATAAAACCAGGATAAAGAAGGTACTTGTCAGAGAGCTGCTGTTTGCAGGGGATGTAGCAATCACCATACGTGTATGGTACTGTCTGCATTTGTTCATGCATGCTTTTAATTTGGACTAACAATCAGAAAAACAAAGACACAGATTATGGGGCAAGGTGTTAACGATAGACCTGCAGTCTACATTGATGGTGAAGAGCTGGAGACAGTTGAGAATGTTTCCTATCTGGGTTCCACAGTGAATAGTAAACTATCGCTGGACCAAGAAATCAACATCAGGATAGGTAAGGCAGCAACAATAATGAGCAGACTGACAAAGAGAGTTTGGGAGAACAGAAAGCTCACAATTAAAACGAAAACACTTGTCTATAAGGTTTGTGTTCTCAGCACTTTGCTTTACGGCAGTGAAACTTGGTCAGCCTATTTGCACCAGGAGAGACGGCTAAATAGCTTTCACATGTGATGCCTATGAAAAATCCTTGCTTTTAAGTGGCAAGACAAGATCACAAACACTGAGATATTGGAAGGAGCAGGTATTACAAGAGTCTTCTCAATGCTAGTCTATGAAGGCTCAGGTAGCTGGGTCACATCTGGAGAATGGAGGATGGTAGAGTCCTAAGGACATCCTGTATGGTGAATTACCGATGTATAGAAGATGTCAAGGCTGGCCTCTGTTATGGTATAAAGATGTGAGCAAGCGGGACGTGAAGGCTACATGTACTGAGATGGATTCGTGTGAATGCTATGGATTGTGTTGTAAGGAGGGGGAATATCAGGATGGGAATCAGAATGAAGGAAGAAATGGTTGCAGAAAGAATGAGAGCTGAGCATCTGAGAAGAAACTCACTAAACACAGATGATGACAACACTGGTCCTGAAATTATTTGTCGAAGACTGTTATTACCGCGGGCGTGTTTTGCTAGTCACACTCCCCATTGTCATGTGCTGTGAGTCCCATGCCTCCTCATTCCACAATATAACACTATCATCTGGAAAGACAGATTTTTCAGAAATAAAATAACTCTTTTTTATGGTTGAAGGGGGATGTCTGGGATTTGTTCCTGTTGGACTGGCATCTGAAAAGTGGCTCTTTGAGTCACTTGGTGTCAGACCTTCAAGTTGCACCCCTTAACAGGGATTACTGGGGAAAATACTGTGGCTTATTGAATTTTAAATATTTACAATTAGAGTCTATATTAGTGACTTCTTTGCACTTGATTTTATCTCATATAGCTCAGTCTGTGCATAACTGCTGGCCACCTGCCGAGATTGTTGTACAAAGCACAAACTCTGTAGCTTTAGCTATGATCCCCAAGGATCTCCATAGAAAATGCACTCTTGCACTAAACGCCACATCCATAAAATGAATGATTGAGGTTTTGAGCTTTGAACAATGGATTAACATCATAGCACAAAAATGTAATCTATAAGTGCTCCATTCTTCTTCTAACTCAAGTCTGAGTCCGAAGAAGCTTAGCACGGTGCACAGGATCTGTAGGATCCTGAAACACTTTGGGTAGATTTTTAACTCCAAATTTTGCCTGGGCAGCACTGTTACCAATCAGCACAGAGAGACATCTTATTCAAAGCATATTTATTCCAACTCTGTGCTACCAGTGCCAGACATGGTCACTCACAACAAACCATAAAAGAAAATTAGTAACCACGGAAATGAGATGTCTGAGAAGGGCTGTAGGAGTGACCATAAGAGATAAGATCAGGAATGAGATCATAAGAGAAAAAGTCGGCACAGAACCAATTCTAAATTACATACAAAGACAGCAAGTGAAATGGTTTGCCCACTTAGAGAGAATGCCTTGTGACACCATACCATACAAAGCATACATGGAAAGAGAAGAAGGTCGTAGAGCAAGAGGTAGACCAAGAACAATATGGAAGGATAACATCAGAGAAGCTCTGCAACAGCACGATGTGCCTATGGTCGAGGCGGCCAGAAGAGCCAGAAACAGAACTTTATATCTCCCTCGACACCCACAGCGGTAAAAGAGGAAGTGAAGAAGAAGAAGAAGAAGAAGAAGAAGAAGAAGAAGAAGAAGAAGAAGAAGAAGAAGAAGCACTGTCAAGCTACTCTTTTCGATTTCCAGTTGCCAAGGGGTTGTTTTTTTTACGTGCACAACAATGCACACGGGTGTCCGATCTCACTACCCAGAGACCAGGGGAAGTCCAAGTCCATGTGAATAAATCCCAGTCCTTACCAGGAATTGAACCCAGAATCTTTAACACTTGAGGCAGACACCATGCAAAATGAATAATGCGTTCATGAAGTAAACTCATAACATGAAAATGCAAGGAAAATGGCTGATCACTTGGTGGCTGAGACCCTGAGAATCTTACTAAAAGCTTGTCTAGTTTGAGTTTATCACAATGATACCAAAGAATGAATGATCACAAATTAAAACTAGGAATGAAGGCAAAAAGTAATGAGAAATGAAAGAAAAAGAACAGAAAAAGAATAGAAAGAAAAGTAATGAATACATGTGATCTTCTATGACAGTTTCCAAAGACAAATGCTCAAGGCCCGCATTGTCCAGAACCTGACTACTCACTTGCCATCTACCCCACAACCATTCCATGACTGTACCCTGTTTGTTTTAAGATGATATCAGTGGAGAGAGTGCTGGAGTACTCTTGTCTGCCCCACAACCATTCCATGACTATACCCTGTTTGTTTTCAGATGATATCAGTGGAGAGAGTGCTGGAGTACTCTTGTCTGCCCCACAACCATTCCATGACTGTACCCTGTTTGTTTTCAGATGATATCAGTGGAGAGAGTGCTGGAGTACTCTTGTCTGCCCCACAACCATTCCATGACTGTACCCTGTTTGTTTTCAGATGATATCAGTGGAGAGAGTGCTGGAGTACTCTCGTCTGCCCCACAACCATTCCATGACTGTACCCTGTTTGTTTTCAGATGATATCAGTGGAGAGAGTGCTGGAGTACTCTCGTCTGCCCCACAACCATTCCATGACTGTACCCTGTTTGTTTTCAGATGATATCAGTGGAGAGAGTGCTGGAGTACTCTTGTCTGCCCCACAACCATTCCATGACTGTACCCTGTTTGTTTTCAGATGATATCAGTGGAGAGAGTGCTGGAGTACTCTCGTCTGCCCCACAACCATTCCATGACTGTACCCTGTTTGTTTTCAGTTGATATCAGTGGAGAGAGTGCTGGAGTACTCTCGTACAACCATTCCATGACTGTACCCTGTTTGTTTTCAGATGATATCAGTGGAGAGAGTGCTGGAGTACTCTCGTCTGCCCCACAACCATTCCATGACTGTACCCTGTTTGTTTTCAGATGATATCAGTGGAGAGAGTGCTGGAGTACTCTCGTCTGCCCCAGGAGGCAGACTTAGAGTCAGCCCCAGAGAAGAAACCGCCCCCTTCCTGGCCTCAACATGGGACTATTGTAGCAAGAGATGTGTGTCTGCAGTACTCAGTGGATGGGCCCCTAGTTCTGAAAAACCTCAACTTTGCTATCCATGGAAGAGAGAAGGTAAATTAAACTTCCCTTTTTTGTTTTTACAATGTCAGCTTGTCTTAGATTATGAATGACAAAGATTAGGAGTTGCTGGTTGAGTGGGTACAATACTGTGCTCTCAGGTTTGAGACCCAGGTTCGAATCCTATCTTGTTATAGATATTTTTTCATCTAGGGGCAAACCTAACCTGCACAGTTTAGAATGATTGGGCTAATCATGCTAACCTAAATTCTCTGACTCAAGGACCCCTCCTAGCACTCTCCTGTTCTTGTTCATTCATTCTCCTATTGTACCATTGTATGTCACATAGGACAGGCAGTCATTTTTCCATTCTGTTCTGCACAGTCATATTTCAATATCATGGGTGGAATCCAGTCCAGCACCTTTGGCTTCTTTCATCCTCATTCAGCTTAGGGTTTCTCTAGGACATCCTTGTTTCCTCAATCCTTCTGTTTCCCATTTGAGTGCCTGTTTGAATATTCTCTGTTTATCGTTTCTTAATATGAGTCCAAAATAACGCCATCTTCTCTGTCTTACAACTGTTGATACTAGGGTTTGCCCAGCCATCTTCTCTGTCTTACAACTGTTGATACTAGGGGTTGTCAAGACATTTCTCTTATTGTTTTTCACTCTTCTAGAATTCTTCTCATTTTTCCGAGGCATTTGTTTTTGAATGCATTTAACTTTTATTCTGTGTCTTAAGTTGTTCTGTTCTACACTACCCTTAAAAGTGGGAATAGAGGCAGTAAAAAAGCCTTTTTCGTGCCTTTGGGCATATTGGGCATAAATGGCTAGACTTATATTAAATAGAACTCGGGGGCGATGTAGTCAGCATCATGCTGGCCACATTTACTTCCCAAGGCATTACGTGGTACCCATTTAAGTTTGAGTCAACCTGGAAGTCAAGGTTGTATTTGAAGAGTCTTTCTCTGTCAGTATCTGAAGTCACGACCTTCAGATCCGCAGGTGAGCATGTAGCCCCTATGCCATGGGCTCCCACTATGGGCAGTAAGGACAGTTAGAGAAGAGGTCAAACCCTGACATTCTTTCAGATTTGAACGTAGCAGAGGACAGGCTCACAGACAGTATTGTTTCTCAGAAACAAACGACAGACATACTTTGGCCATTGTATAGTAAAATAATGGTTTGAAGAGAACAGTAATGGAAGGTATATTTCCTGAAAGATGTGAAAGGGATTTACCAGTTTTTGGGTGAACACAGGATGTCAGGGACACTCTGGGTCCAGTATTTCAGTGAACACAGGATGTCAGGGACACTCTAGGTCCAGTATTTCAGTGGACACAGGATGTCAGGGACACTCTGGGTCCAGTATTTCAGTGGACACAGGATGTCAGGGACACTCTAGGTCCAGTATTTTGGTGGACACAGGATGTCAGGGACCCTCTGGGTCCAGTATTTCGGTGGACACAGAATGTCAGGGACACTCAGGGTCCAGTATTTCAGTGGACACAGGATGTCAGGGACACTCTAGGTCCAGTATTTCAGTGGACACAGGATGTCAGGGACACTCTAGGTCCAGTATTTCAGTGGACACAGGATGTCAGGGACACTCTAGGTCCAGTATTTCGGTGGACACAGGATGTCAGGGACACTCTGGGTCCAGTATTTCGGTGGACACAGGATGTCAGGGACACTTTGGGTCCAGTATTTCGGTGGACACAGGATGTCAGGGACACTTTGGGTCCAGCATATTTGGTGGACAGACAGGATTGTCAGGGACACTCTGGGTCCAGTATTTCGATGAACACAGGGATGTCAGGGACACTCTAGGTCGAGTATTTCAGTGGACACAGGATGGTCAGGGGTCACTCTGGGTCCCAGTATTTCAGTGGAACACATACAGAATGTCAGGGACACTCTAGGCTCCCAGTATTTCGGTGGACACATGATGTCAGGGACACTCTAGGTCCAGGGTTTATAAAATTTCGGTCGACACAGGATGTCAGGGACCCTCTGGGGGGGGGGGGGGGGGGAGGTTGCTGTGTAATGGTAATGTTAGTTGGCTTCATAGGACAAAATGGGTTTTCCCAGTTGCTTATGAGAATGAGGCAAAGGACCTGCTGTATGTTTTGATTCTCCTTCTTCTTTGCATTGACAACGCTTGTACCAGCTATAAACTTGGGCACACGCATTAAGTTCTGGTTGCCATCATTTGCTTTTCAATCAGTCTGAACTTTGAAATTTTTCATCATCAAACTTGAGTTTTACATGCATATCTGTTTGTGTGCAGACTGTTGGTTTTTTGTGCCCCTTAGGTAGATGCATTCCAACTTGGAAGGACACACCCATAATTAGTCGACTCTTCCAACATGCTTTTTAGGTGGTAGTGGGTCCCCTCCCCTGTCCCATAATGGGGCCCTGGAACCTACACATGGAGTTCAGCTGATTCTGTAATTGACCTAGAGCTCACAGGTTCTGTTGACACTATCAGCGCATCAGATATATGATGTGCCTAGCGTCCATTTTTACTAAGATTTTCTGTAGTTTTTAGCTTCATAGCAATCGGGTCACCCCAGAGTTTGCTCCGTCTTCACCAGTGACCCATAGTTTATCTTGTAGGATCAAAACTTTGGACAGAGATTTTCCTTACAGACCCTTTGTGTAAGCATTTGACAAGACATGCTCTGTCCCTTTGCTTTGGTTGCACTAGCAACCTCACGCATGCAAAGCATTACGGTAAGCCCCATTCGAGAAGTGCTATGCTCTAAGTTTACTGTGTGACATTAGAAATCAGTGATCATCAATTCGGTTCTGCATGTTTCTGCAACAATCAGCAGTTTATACTACTTTCTATGGTTCAAATTTTAATCCTCTCTCCAGTTTGTTCTTTATGGCTTGCTTTAAAAGCATCTTCACCAGCTTCAAGCACTGATATTGTTCAAGATAATACTCATTAGGCAAAGGTTCTTACTTATCTTCTTGTTACCCACAAATTAGTCTCTTTTTTGTAATTGTTATTGTCATTCTTAGGTGGGGATTGTTGGTAGAACTGGCGCAGGGAAGAGCTCACTCATCACCACACTGTACCGACTGGTCGAACCTCAGGGATGCATTCTCATTGATGACATCAACATTCAGGAATTGGTCTGCATGACCTCAGAAGCAAAATCTCCATCATTCCACAGGTATGTGCAACTTCAGCCAGGAATATACTGCTGACAGTTACTGTTGTTCATTCATCCTTGTTTACTTCCTAACAATTTAAAATTCATCCTAAACAACTGCTGACAGTTACTGTTGTTCATTCATCCTTGTTTACTCCCTAACAATTTATAATTCATCCTAAACAATGACAGTTACTGTTGTTCACCATCCTTGTTATTCCTAACAATTTTTCTCTCATCCTAAACACCACAGTTACTGTGTGTTCTTCATCCTTGTTTTCCTTCCAATTTAAAATTCATGCAGAATGCATAGATACGTGCTAGAGCATTGTAGTTTTCCTTCCATCACATGCAGTGTAGATAAGTGCTAGAGCATAATCTAAAATACTGTACAGCCCTTTAGCAAACAGAATCAGTAGAGAAACAAGATTATTATGGCCTGGAGAGAATGAGGCACCTAGGGTGTAACCAGAGGGTCTGGCCGGCTCACTACACTCAGAGAAAAGGCAAAATGGACATATAACTAGATTGTGACCAGTACCATCAGTATTGGAACTCTGAGCTGGCTGCTGAAGATGAGGATGGAGCACATATGGGGATGTCCCAAGTGCTGTGATGTCAATTCTTGACTCAACTCAATTTAACTCAATCTAAAATACTGATACTACAACATCTATTTTGAGAGTGGAAGTGTTCCACAATCACTGAGAACTTGAGAACCAGCTGTGCACACATGTTGTTATTTTATCAGACACACAAACATGCTGAATGCCATGGCAATTCATGACATTATAGGCTGAGTGATCTCGAGGCATGGCATCCGCCTTGGTGCTTGAGGTCCCAGGTTCAGGTCCCGGTGAAGACTGGGATTTTTTCACATGGACTTGTAGTAATTTCCTCTGCTATCTGGGTAGTTAAGATCAGATGCCCATGTGTATTGTTGCTCACACAAAAATCCTTTGGCAGTTGGAAATCGAACAGAATAGCCTAAGGGGGCTGCCCAGGACAAAATTGGGAGTTAAACATCCACCCAAAGTACTAAGGAGTTTGTGCTGAGATTCTTCAGACTCAGGTTTGGGTTAGATGTAAAATGTAGCACTTATGGGTTACTACTCTTGTGCCATGATGTTGATCCGTTGTTCAAACCATCATGATATTATACTCTAGAACCCACTTTTAATGCATTGTTCTATCCTATGAAAAGGTTTTTTGTTTTTTTTACAGTTAAAGGTCGAGACGATCAGCATCATTGCACCAGGTTTTATCTCCTAATTCTTGGTCTTTCTCAGCAGAATGGCTAGCCGCCTGCCGAGAGCATCGCACAGAGCACGAATGTCATAGCTCCGGTGTCAATCCCCAGGTATCTGCATACAAATTGCACTCATGAACTGAACAGCGTGGCTGTGAAACGAACCCACGACTTTCAAAGTGGGAAGCAAATGGCTTGATTTCTTCGCCATGGAGGCCTCCTGATGTATTTGTGTATCCTACTGTAGGATCAATTCCCGATGTTTTGTTATATCATCTAAGATCCAGTCCTAATGTATTTGTGTATCCTATTGTAGGATCAATTCCCGATGTTTTGTTATATCATTTAAGATCCAGTCCTAATGTATTTGTGTGTCCTACTGTAGGATCAATTCCCGATGTTTTGTTATATCATCTAAGATCCAGTCCTAATGTATTTATATATCCTACTGTAGGATCAATTCCTAACATTTTGTTATATCATCTAAGATCCAGTCCTAATGTATTTATGTATCCTACTGTAGGGTCCATTCCTAATGTTTTGTTATATCATCTAAGATCCAGTCCTAATTTATTTGTGTATCCTACTGTAGAACCAATTCTTAATGTTTTTTTATATCATCTAAGATCCAGTCCTAATGTATTGTTTTATCCTTTAGGACCCAGTCCTGTTTTCAGGATCGTTAAGAAGGAACCTGAATCCATTTCAGCGGCACACAGATGAACAGTTATGGACAGCTTTAGAGGAGGTTTGCATATCACCATCATTTCCTTCCATTTTTTTTTCTTTTCTTCTTCTTCTCTCTTCTTCTTCTTCTTCTCCTTCTTGTTCTTGGTTGTAAACTCTGGCGGAAAGTTCTGGTTGTTCATCCACATATAGACTTAGGTCTTGTTCCAGAAATCAATTTTTGCGTGCAAATCCATTTTAAAGGTGTGCCTTCTTCAGATGTTAGTTCCTTGCCTCTCAGGCAGATGCACTCTGACTTCGAAGGAAGCTCCTAATTAGTCGACTGTTATGACATGCTTGGGAGACACCGTGGCAGAGTGTCTAGACGCTTGCTGGGGATCAAAGGTCATGGGTTCGCTCCATGGCGGAGCCGGACTTTTTTCAAAAATGACCTTGGCTTCCAGGTCGATCCAACCTTGAGTGGGTACAGGGTGCAGTCCTGGGAAGTAAAGGTGGCTGGCATGATGCTGACCACATCCCCCATCTTGTGCAGATTAGTCTATAAAATATAGGTCTAGCCCTATATGCCCTATATGCCTAAAGGCGTGGAAAAGGGTCCTTTACTCTTTTTTTTTTTAACTTTATGACGTACTTGCTGGGGAGGCAATGGGTCTATTCTTGTTTTCCCCCACAATGTGGCCCCGGAACCCATAGTTACTGTGTTTCCTTGACAGGACGTTGCAGAACAAACCTCTGCATTTGGCGGGGGGGGGGGGGGGGGGGGGGGCTGTTTTTTTTTTGGGCAAATTTTAAGTTCATAAGTTTGCCACTGTTTTCTGAACGGTCAGCTCTGGGTACCACTGCCGAAACCAACACAAGACAAATTGTCCGCAGCTCAGATCGAACTCGGCACCTCGGCATTACAGATGCCGACGGAACCCATTAGGGGATTCCATTTATTTGACTAAAGGAGAAATAAAGACTAATGGAGAAGTATAGACTAACTTAGAAAGAAAGACTAACAGAGAAAGAAAAAGAGAACACAGCATAGTTTGTATTATTTTATTAGACTTTTAAAATGTTTCTATAACCTGTTGCTTGTATAATTCTTGTTTTTGTGTTGTTATTATTTTGTGTGTGTGTATCTTTTTTAAATTGTTATGCTTCATGTATGTGTTGTTATTGTTGTGTCACTTAGAGCTATCTTATTCCCACTTGTCTCTTGCCTTTCTACTTTTATCTAGGTACTGATGTTCACTTGTCATGTTTTGTCATCCACCGTTTGGATTTTACAACCAAACACTTTCATTTTCTCATTTCGCACGTCGTGATCTTTTTCTCCTGTGCTCTTGTTAGGGACCAGGTTTGGCATTGGTAGCAGAGGGTTGGTATAAACATGCAATTTATCAGTTGTCGTTTTAGTGCCATAGTGATGCTTGGGTGTTTTAGCAGTGGGGAGAGTTGGTAAGTTACTGCGTTCGCCTTTTGACATCTTGCCTCAAGTTCCTTATCAATTCTTCCATCATCTGTGAAGATGCTCCCCAAGTATTTAAATTGCTGCATTTGTTTGAGTTGTTCGTTGTTAACTTGAATAGTTAGTATATTAGGTTTTCTACTTATTTTCAGAATTTATGTTTTGGTGATGCTGATCTTCATGTTATATTCGTTGCAGACTGTGTGTAGCGCATTTACGTGGATTTCAAGTTCTTTTTCGTTTTCATGTATTATGCTTTGGTCGTCTGCGAAAAGTATTTTGTTCAGTTGGGGGTATACTTCATCAGGATCGGCGTGTATGTTTTCATTTTAATGATCTCTTTCAACTAACTCTGTCTCACTGCTTGGTGTAGTTAACAGTTCGCTTATCATTACATGGTTTGCTGCTGTTGTTATTCTGTCCATGTATATATTGAATAGTAGAGGTGATAGTACACAACCCTGTCTTAGTCCTGTTCTTAGTATGAATTCGTCTGTCACACCAACATTTGTTCTGACTACGCTTGAGCTTGTTTGGTACAGAGATCTGATCTTGTTGTCACAAGGAGAGACAGAGTTTGAAACGAGAACATTAGATCAATTGTAGGAACCACACCATGCCTGCAATACATAAAGAAGCAACAAATAGAGTGGTTTGGCCACTTGATGCGAATGCAAACCGACCAACTGCCTCTACGAGCATTCAACGAACAGCACTACTGCCCTAGAGCAAGAGGCAGACCGAGAGTACGATGGATAGACAATATATCAGAGATCCTGAGGCAACACGGACTAACAACAACACGTGCAACACACCTGGCCCAGGATAGAAAACTGCGACTCCCCACTACGCTGTGATGAAATTGTAAACAAGACAAGACGAGACAAGACACTTTCATTACTATTTACGTTCCTGGATTGGCTGTTGTTAATTCCACTTACCAAAACTGCCACAGTAACACTACTACTACAGCTCTTGTTATAAGGAATTAGTTTTGTCTTTACTATTATTTTACTATTACTACTTCTTTACTATTATATCACTACTATTACTCTACTAATTCTACTACTGCTTCAATATTTACAGTATATAGTTCTGCTACTATAATTATTTCTACTTCTACTATAATTACTTCTACTGCTACTATAATTACTTCTGCTACTTCTACTGCTACTATAATCTACTATAATTACTTCTACTGCTACTATAATTGCTTCTACTACTACTATAATTACTTCTGCTACTACTACTGCTACTATAATTACTTCTACAACTGCTACTATAATTACATTTACTGCTATATAATTCTACTAATACTGCTGCTATAATTACTTTTACTACTCTGCTACTATAATTACTACTACTGGTACTATAATTACTTCTGCTCTAACTGCTACTAAAAATACATATACTACTACTATAATTCTACTAATACTGCTGCTATAATTACTTTTACTACTCTGCTACTATAATTACTTCCTCTAGTATCGCTACTATAATTACTTCTACTGCTGCTACTGTAATTACTGCTGCTATAATTATTATTCTACTACTACTGCTACTATAATTACTTCTACTACTACTGCTACTATAATTACTTCTGCTACTACTGCTACTATCATTACTTTTTCTACTACTGCTACTATAATTACTTCTACTACTACTGATACTAAAACAGTAACATATAATACCATCACCACTACCTCACTACTATATCTCCTACTGCTACAACTATTGCATTTACTACTACTTCAGTGGCTCTTACTAAATTGTTGATATACTAGGTGCAGCTGAAGGATCAGATCAGAGACATTCCAGAAGGACTTAGTGCTGAGGTTTCCGAAGGTGGCATCAACTTCAGTGTTGGTCAGCGGCAGCTGATTTGTCTGGCACGAGCCATCCTGGGCAACAGCAGGATCCTCCTTATTGATGAGGCCACCGCCAATGTTGACCCCATGTGAGTATTGCACTGACCACTGTTGACCACCCCACACCCCACCCCCCCCCCCCACCCCATGTGGAAGTTGACCATTGTAGACCCTTTGTGAATATTGTGTTGACCATTTTTGACTCTATGTGAGTGTTCTGTTGACCCACATATGAGTATTGTGTTGACCATTGTTGACCCCTGTAAGTATTGTTTTCACCACTGTTGATCCTATGTGAGTATTATGTTCGTCCCATGTGAGTACTGAATTAGTGATTAGTGATTCGAAAGGATTATCATCACAGCACTCCAGACAGATCCGTAGGTGCTCTTATCTCCTCCTAAAAAACTCCACAAGTGTAAAACAACTGATGAAGGCTGCTCTGTGTTGGTTAATGAAACGTCTTGTCCCCTTAGTGAAATGTTCATTTCTCGCAGCTCCATGCTGCACCCCCATGCCCATCAGTCTAGACAGGGATATGGATTCATGTCCTGTGGCATGCTCTGCGGTACAGTAAGTGCAGCGCAAAGCTTTGATAACATCACTTCTGTTCAGCCATAGCAACCGCAGTGTCAGCAAGATGGTCTGCACACTTATTCCCTTGAACACCCGCATGACCTGGCACAAACATGAAGGTTTGGGCAGCTATTTGTGAAGTGCTTAGTGTTGCAATCCCTTCTTGCCTGATAAGTCCATCTTGGATTTTTTTAAGCATATTTATCGAGTCACTAAGAAAGCATAGGTGTGTGAACTTTTGAGTACCAAGCCATGCTAATGCTCTTGTTACAGCCATAGTTTCCATTGTTGTAACAGCAAAGGCACCATTCATCTCCTTGATGGTTTTTCCCCTTTAACTTACTGTGAATGCCCATGCAATTCGCTTGCCCCGAATTACTGACCCATCTGTGTAAACTATAGCATCGCCTTCATCTGTGTTTTTGTCAGTCAGTGTTTTGAATAAAGTGTCATGATTAAATATCTTCTGGTTACTCCTGAATCTCTTCCCATACATCTGATTTCCAATCTAAATCCAAGCTGGATTTATAAGACCGAAGAATATTGAATTGATCCATTGTTCTCCATGTATGAGTATAGTGTTGACCAGTTTTGAGCCTGTGTGAATATCTGATTGACTATTGTTCTCTCCTTTGTTCTCTTAAATGTACAGTTTTATAAATCTCTACATTTGAACATAAATTTACAGATCTATAGATCTTTACATTTAAGGCTAAATCTACAACTCTGATTCTCTACATTTTAAGATAAATTCAGTCATATAAATGTCTAAATTTGAGGATAAATCTACTTATGTATAAGTCTCTATATTTAAAGATAAGTCTGCGCTATATCTCTATATTTAGGTTAAATTGACAACTACATATCTCTCAATTTCATGACATGTCCACAACTTTGTAAATACCTGCATTTCAGTTTAAATTAAAAATTATGTAAGTCCCTACATTTCAGTATAAATCTACAGTTGTTTAAATCTCTACATTTCAGTATAAATCTACAGTTGTTTAAATCTCTACATTTTAGTATAAATCTACAGTTGTTTAAATCTCTACATTTCATTTTAAATCTACAGTTGTTTAAATTTCTACATTTTAGTATAAATCTACGGTTGTATAAATCTCTACATTTCAGCACTGATGAGCTGATACAGCAGACCATACGCACAAAGTTCCAGGACTGTACAGTGCTTACAATAGCCCACAGACTTCACACAATTGCCGACTCTGACAGGGTTATGGTAAAGACGTGTTGCCCTTTGTGTTCTCAGTACATAGATCTCAGATCTGTATTATTGTAATTGTTATTGTTCTAAACGCCAACTTAGCTGTCCGAGACAAAGTTAGAAATGATATTAACAGACAGACTGTGGAAACAACACAATGCAGCAAATTCATTGAGAAATAGAAGAGCAAATGGTTCGGTCATATAGTTTTAATATAACCACAACAACTACAGACGCTACACATGAAAATATCTGATGTGTAAGCAAGAGGTCACCCTAAAAGAAGATGGATGATGACACTAAAGAGCTTCTACATCAGCACGATGTGACAGTCACCATTGCTGCCTAACAAGCTATGGATCTCAAACTGTTCCTTCAGGAGCCAGTCACTGAGATGAATGGACCTCAGCTTTCATCTGAGCAGTGAACCTCAAGGGCCCGGAAAGCCGAAGAAGAAGATGAAGAAGAATATTCTAAACAGAGAGTCACAGAATCTTTTCACATGCCCACTGAGCCAAAATAGTTTACCCTGGTTGCTGTGTCAACCCAGCCTAAAATGGGTACCAAGACAACGAGAGAGAGATATGCCAATCCCAATCACTGAAGTCATCAAGGGTCAACGAGACAGTAGAGTAACTCAACCTGATGATCGTGACGCATTTTTGGGTCAAAAAACCCTTTCCTGGGGGTCGCCTATGGCCATCAGAAAACACATATTCTTTGAAATTATGAAGGAAAATAAAGGTGTGGAGGTCGCATTAGGAAGGTTGAGAGCCACTGGTCTAAAAGATATGAGTCTAGCACATATGCTGGATGTACCACTGTTGTGAAAAAGGTCCTTTACTTTACCTTACTAATATTCTAGCCACTGATTTCTTCCAATTTTCCAACAAGTTTGCATTGTGTCCATAAGCAGTGGTTTCACATGTCTATGTTATTAGACCCCAGTTAGTGTTGAACAACCCTGTCATAGGGGTCGCCTAAGAGCATAGGAAAACACATATTCTTTGAAGTTATGAAGGATAAAGTTGTCTGGGGGTCGCCACAACACGAGGGAACTGTATTAAAGGGTTGCAGCATTAGGAAGGTTGAGAGCCACTAGTCTATAAGATATGAGTCTAGCACATATGCTGGATGTACCACTGTTGTAAAAAAGGTCCTTTACTTTACCTTACTAATATTCTTGTCACTTTTTTTTTTTTGCATTGCAGTGTCAGCCAAGCACAGGTTTCACATTTCTATGTTATTCGCAGCTGGTAGATTCCAAACACTTCTTTAAAATATAATTAAAAAACATAATTATATTTATTAACTTCAATATAGGTGTAGAGTGCTGACTCACAGAAAACCTGGCATCTGAGTTTCTATATCTGGAACAGAATGCACGGAAGATGATGCAGGAGATCAAGAAGATTAATATCTAATCAGTAAAATCATAAAAATTACAAGTTAGGTGCCCAGAACCAGTTCTAAATTACATCACAGACAGTGATGCCCCCCCCCCCACCCCCTCCCCCCCCCCCTTGTGACCCCCCCCCCCCCCCCATACCCCCCAAAAAAGGGATGATAGATCCCTGCTTTTTTTTTTTTTTTTTTTCAACAAGCATGACCTGAATATCAATTGATTTTGGGTTTTGTTGAAATTGGGCGTGTTGAGCTGAAAGGCACAAATATTGAAACCTTACTGTAAACCAGAACACATTATGCCAACCTTCCTTTGGGGATGAATGTACAAGTAAAATGAGTTCAGTGCTGACCTGATAAGGAGAACTCACCAGGGACCCAAGAATTGGTTCTTCTTATCAGAAATTCCTCTTTTCCAGATAATAATTAAAGCAAGAAACATTGCCGGGGATCAATAAACAGTTCCTCACAACAGAAATTCATCATATACAAGATTGCCTTAAGCAGTCTGCACTGTGTACATCAAACAATATAATGAAAGTTATAACACTGAGAAAAGTATAGAGGCTTCAGAAATGAGTTGTCCGAGAAAGGTGGTCCAGGTGACAAAAAGAGACAAAGTTTGTAACCAGACATGATCTTGAAATTCAGGCCTAACAAATGAGAGTGGATCAGTCATAGTTATAATAGTTTAGACATGTATGCAGGATGAGAGAGAATCAGCCACTACGGCAGTCATGGGTGGCCAAGAATCAGGGAACTAAACCACCAGGGTGACCCAGGAGAGAATCAGCCACTACGGCAGTCATGGGTGGCCAAGAATCAGGGAACTAGACCACCAGGGTGACCCATGAGAGAATCAGCCACTACGGCAGTCATGGGTGGCCAAGAATCAGGGAACTAGACCACCAGGGTGGCCCATGAGAGAATCAGCCACTACGGCAGTCATGGGTGGCCAAGAATCAGGGAACTAGACCACCAGGGTGACCCAGGAGAGAATCAGCCACTACGGCAGTCATGGGTGGCCAAGAATCAGGGAACTAGACCACCTGGGTGACCCATGAGAGAATCAGCCACTACGGCAGTCATGGGTGGCCAAGAATCAGGGAACTAAACCACCAGGGTGACCCAGGAGAGAATCAGCCACTACGGCAGTCATGGGTGGCCAAGAATCAGGGAACTAGACCACTAGGGTGACCCAGGAGAGAATCAGCCACTACGGCAGTCATGGGTGGCCAAGAACCAGGGAACTGAACCACCAGGGTGACCCAGGAGAGAATCAGCCACTACGGCAGTCATGGGTGGCCAAGAATCAGGGAACTAGACCACTAGGGTGACCCATGAGAGAATCAGCCACTACGGCAGTCATGGGTGGCCAAGAATCAGGGAACTAAACCACCAGGGTGACCCAGGAGAGAATCAGCCACTACGGCAGTCATGGGTGGCCAAGAATCAGGGAACTAGACCACTAGGGTGACCCAGGAGAGAATCAGCCACTACGGCAGTCATGGGTGGCCAAGAATCAGGGAACTAAACCACCAGGGCGACGCAGGGTTGGCTGGGAAGACAACATTCGACAGTCCCTGACTGACAGAGGACTGGAATAGAGCACAGCCAAAAAGAAAACTGCAGACAGAGAAGTCTGGCGATCTCTCTGGCAAACCTCTACACTCCAAGGTAGAAGAAAATTGATTTAAGTAAGTAAAAAAGAAAAGTTCAGAGGAAAAGAGATAGAGGATTTCAGACTTTTAACGAGTAGACAACATTAGGATGTAGTTGAAATACATCATTGGAGGCTGCACAATGAAGACTTTTGATAGAATCACTAGCCATCTGTTAGTGTCAACCTTAAATGTCGAGATGGCACTAGTTGTTGAACGGGATGATGATGGTACTAGAGGCTTGTTGAACTTTTCAACATCCATCATCAACATGTAGTTTCCAAGGACTCATTTGATGGGGAAAGGAGGGGGGGGGGGGACAAGAACAGACCCTAGCCCCTCTGACAATCTTGTCAGTAACCAACAGTCTGCATATGACTAAGCCAGATCAGTAAAACAGATGTGCAGACAAAACTCAGGCTCTGAAACAGGACCAAATTGCAGAAGTGGTTGAACAACCAGAACTTTCTTCAAGAGTTTACAACTAGTGAACATCCATCGGGTACAGAACTAAACTGCTCAATATGATTTACTGTCACAGGTTCTGGACATGGGTCAGATTGTAGAGTTTGACAAGCCTTATAACTTACTGTCCAGTGGTCAAGGTTTCTTCTTTGATATGGTTCAGCAGCTGGGCAAGACAGAGCTTGACCATCTGCTGGACATTGCTCACCAGGCAGCCAAGAAAAGGTGAGAATCCTAAATCCACATCTTCTCCCTGTGTGGGTTCTAGGGCTCCATGGGTGGGGCTCCCTGTGTGGGTTCTAGGGCTCCATGGGTGGGGCTCCCTGTGTGGGTTCTAGGGCTCCATGGGTGGGGCTCCCTGTGTGGGTTCTAGGGCTCCATGGGCGGGGCTCCCTGTGTGGGTTCTAGGGCTCCATGGGTGGGGCTCCCTGTGTGGGTTCTAGGGCTCCATGGGTGGGGCTCCCTGTGTGGGTTCTAGGGCTCCATGGGTGGGGCTCCCTGTGTGGGTTCTAGGGCTCCATGTGTGGGGTGGGGGGGGTGGTAATGAAAAGACCCACTGCCCCTCTTATGTGCATGTCCTAGCAGGTGACTAATTAATGGGGGATGTTTCCTTTGAAGTCGTATTGCATCTGCCCTAGAGGCCAGGAACCAACAGGCTATGTACAAAGACGCCAGATAGGTAAAATGAACGTGCACATAAAACTCACATTCTGGAACAAGGCTCTGTCCAGTAATGAACAAACAATCAGAATTGTCTGCCAGAGTTTACACCCTGTGAATGCTAAGAAGAAGAATTGATTATTCTATGTTTTATATAGATTTTATTTTTCGTTTGTTCCATTCTTCGGTTCTTCACACCGAGCAGTCCTATCTTTTGCTATCATGTCATGTCATCTTTTATCTTTTTCTATCCCATATAGTTCACCTCATGTCATCTTTTGCTGTCACATATAGTTCACCTCATTTCATCTTTTATCTTTTGCAACCATGACCAGACTGCAAGAATAGCATGTTAAAAGCGGTGTGGCTAGACAAGAGCACTGCACCAAAGAAGAATAAGAAACTAACACAGGAGTGGTGTTATCAGCAACTACATGTTGCAGGATTTATTGGGGAGAGGAAACAGAGGACCTGAACTACATGTTGCAGGATTTATTGGGGAGAGGAAACAGAGGACCTGAACTATATGTTGCAGCATTTATTGGGGAGGGGAAACAGAGGACCTGAGCTACATGTTGCAGGATTTATTGGGGAGAGGAAACAGAGGACCTGAACTACATGTTGCAGGATTTATTGGGGAGAGGAAACAGAGGACCTGAACTACATGTTGCAGGATTTATTGGGGAGAGGAAACAGAGGACCTGAACTACATGTTGCAGGATTTATTGGGGAGAGGAAACAGAGGACCTGAACTATATGTTGCAGGATTTATTGGGGAGAGGAAACAGAGGACCTGAACTACATGTTGCAGCATTTATTGGGGAGATGAAACAGTGGACCTGAACTACATGTTGCAGGATTTATTGGGGAGAGGAAACAGAGGACCTGAACTATATGTTGCAGCATTTATTGGGGAGAGGAAACAGAGGACCTGAACTACATGTTGCAGGATTTATTGGGGAGGGGAAACAGAGGACCTGAACTACATGTTGCAGGATTTATTGGGGAGAGGAAACAGAGGACCTGAACTATATGTTGCAGCATTTATTGGGGAGAGGAAACAGTGGACCTGAACTACATGTTGCAGGATTTATTGGGGAGAGGAAACAGAGGACCTGAACTACATGTTGCAGGATTTATTGGGGAGAGGAAACAGAGGACCTGAACTACATGTTGCAGGATTTATTGGGGAGAAGAAACAGAGGACCTGAACTACATGTTGCAGGATTTATTGGGGAGGGGAAACAGAGGACCTGAACTACATGTTGCAGCATTTATTGGGGAGAGGAAACAGAGGACCTGAACTACATGTTGCAGCATTTATTGGGGAGAGGAAACAGAGGACCTGAACTACATGTTGCAGGATTTATTGGGGAGAGGAAACAGAGTACCTGAACTACATGTTGCAGCATTTATTGGGGAGAGGAAACAGAGGACCTGAACTACATGTTGCAGGATTTATTGGGGAGAGGAAACAGAGGACCTGAACTACATGTTGCAGCATTTATTGGGGAGAGGAAACAGAGGACCTGAACTACATGTTGCAGCATTTATTGGGGAGAGGAAACAGAGGACCTGAACTACATGTTGCAGCATTTATTGGGGAGAGGAAACAGAGGACCTGAACTACATGTTGCAGGATTTATTGGGGAGAGGAAACAGAGGACCTGAACTACATGTTGCAGCATTTATTGGGGAGAGGAAACAGAGGACCTGAGCTACATGTTGCAGGATTTATTGGGGAGAGGAAACAGAGGACCTGAACTACATGTTGCAGGATTTATTGGGAAGAGGAAACAGAGGACCTGAACTACATGTTGCAGCATTTATTGGGGAGAGGAAACAGAGGACCTGAACTACATGTTGCAGGATTTATTGGGGAGAGGAAACAGTGGACCTGAGCACTTATGGACTAAATGGTTTGAGTTGCATTTAGGATAATTGGCTGATTAACTTACTGATCATCCTGAAGTACTCAGTCATTCTGGGCTTCAACTGTATGCCCAGTGAATAAATGTATTCACTTTCCATGTAGGTGCCTGTACCTCATTTTGGGGGAAGAATTGAGTCAAAGCCTCTTAACAAACACCATGTAAAAGGTGACAAATAAAGGTTTTGTTGAAATTGGATGTACTGAGCCAGAAGGTGCAGATACTGCAACCTAGCTGTAAACCACATAATGTGCCACCCGTCCTTCTAAGGATGAATTCAGTGGAAGATGAGAAATGTATTAACTGAGGTAAAGAATTATGTGTTTCCATGAAAACAAGAATATGTATGTCTCTGTTTTCTAGAACCTATATTCTAGATTATTAATGATTGATGTAGCTATGTTGTTTACATTTCAGTGTCAAGTCATTAGTCGTATCCAATGGAGTGATACCTAAAGCAAGAAACTCCATCAGTGGTCGGGACACTACTGCTAGTTGCAGTGATTCTGAAACAAGCGGGCTCAACTATGATCTCAGTGACATTGAAGAAAGTCTTCGATTTGTAGATGATGAGGTTCCTGAAGTGTTAGAGGAAGATGTAGATAAGGAGATGTCTCAGCATGAGCCCAGTACCAGCATCGGGAGCTGGCATTCAGCTGATGCAGAGCTGTCAGATCTTGCCTTCAAGGATCAGAAACTAGATCTGTTGGACAGCCCCAAAGAAGAAGTTTCAACAGCTACTGCAGGTCGGGCTGATAAAAGAGCATTAAGTCAAAACATGGGCCACGCTGATGAAATCCAGCCAAGTTTTACTAGCGATGAATTGGCAACCAGAAGCTTGGCAAATGATGATGAAATTGATGATGATTGTTTAGATGAAAGTCAAGTGTTAATAAAGACTGACAATTCTAGAAGTTTCTTTGACAATTGTGGAGAAAAGGCTGCTAAAGTTGATGATGCTATTGATGTCTGAGTCAGTTATAAGTTTCTGGCTGTAGATAGATGCTATTTATATGATGTATCATAGTATTTATATGAATTATCTTAGTGCTTTGTGTTCATGTATGAGTGCTGTATATATGTATGTGTACTGTATATGTGTGTACTTTTATCATTACCAAGTGCCTTAGCATATATAATTTATCATAGTGTTTGTATGATTCATCATATTATTTATATAATTTGTCATAGTTTTTTTATGATCTATTTTAGTGTTTGTATGACTGACCATAGTGTTTGTATTATTTATCATATTATTTATATGATTTATCATAGTGTTTGTATGATTTTCCTAGTATTTTTATGATTTATCCCAGTATTTGTATTATTTAATATAGCAGGCGTATGATTCAGCTTAGCTAGTGCATGATTAAAAATATTATTTGTATGATTTAGTGTAGTATTCATATGATTTTATGTATATTTATATGATTAAACATAGTATGTTATGATCTAGTATAAAATATGAGTGCATAATGGTGACACAAACGGTATATGAACGAGGGAGCAAATTGCATAACCTGTGTATGTGGCATATGAGAAATGATATCACTTATGTTTCACTAGCACACACAGTTTGCATAAATTCAGTATTAACCTCTTTGTCCTGGAAACTCTTTAGAGCAATCATCCAAGAACCTAGGAATCAATCCCCCCCCCCCCTCACTTTTTTTTCTAAATGCGAACAACCGTTTGACAAAGGTCACTAATAAATATTTCAACGATTTGTTTATTAATAAATAATGTTAGGCGGTGGAAGGGGGGGGGGGGGGGGTGGTTAGTGAAGGGGGGGTAATAAACATGTACAGAGCAAAGAATTACATGATTACAGTCCCTTCAGCCTTAAAAATTTACATCCAGAAACTCGCTGTGCCTTGAGACCCCAAATACTGAACGTCAAGAGAGAGAAATATGATGTCATCAAGGCTAAATGAGCCACATTTGTACAAAACCCCTAACCCTCCTTCTTCCAACACTTTCCACACCACTAATGCTATTGGGGGGGAGGGGTTATATAATCATGCCCCAGTCCTGCTAAACAGTGCGCAGGTGCAAACAGGACCATTGTGTTAACTAGGCATCTTGAGGACTGGTGATGGTTGAAGCCTGTGGCCTCGCTGATCGAGCAGTCAGCATCTACACCCTAATACATTTGCTGGGAGTGACGAGGCGTCTACGGGTATACCTCGTATGCTAAGATGTTAATTTTTAAATCAGTATTTAGCAGCACATACAGTTGAATTAACTCTTTTAATCCTATGCAGTTGTTGCTTAAACTCTCTCTATGCAGGTAGTATGTAATTACTTTAAAAATAGGAACTGGATCTTAGTGAATTCCAGCAGAAACCTCATGGGACCTGAAGTATTCAAATAACAACTGGATTACAGTGTAGGGGAGCTAAGGATCTAATTTTTCTCATGCTTACATTTGAACTGTTTGTATATTTTATTATTGTTATAAAAAACATTATTTTTCACCAGTGGTGTATCAGGCATGTAGGGCTAGGACTATATTTGTTAAAACCAATGATCAGTTGAAGGTTTATGTGGTGAACATCACACCGGCTATCTTTACTTCCCAGGATATTTCTTGGCTTCCATTTAGGGCTGGGTCAACCTGAAAGACTGTCACTTTTTA